ATGGCCGACATCGTCGCGGTCGCGACGACCCACGGACGTTTATTTTTCTACGTGCGCTTCTCACGCGTCCCGAGTTCAAGCAGCAAGAAAAAAGTAAGAAGTGCTTGAAACAGACCACGACGAACAAGAACGCTGGATCCACAAACACCAGGGAAAAGCTTCAACGGCCACGATTTCACCGAACGCGACCAAGCGAGTTCGGCAGTTAGGCTTAGCAGGCACTCCGCGACTCGGCGACCGTCTGCCCACGACCGGCTGGCGTGCTGAATGGAATATGCCCGCGCGACCCTTGTGAACCCTTCCGTATTATACTTTGATCGCTGACCTCAATTTTAGATTAAGAGGTCAATTTCTTCCTCTTATTATCTCCTTGTCTCCCGAGGCAACGGTGACTCTCGCCGGTGAAAAAGCGGTGAATCTCCGACAGACGCAGGAAAGGTAAAGCAGCCATCGCTTTGACTAGCAGACGTAAAGCAGACGACGTTAACTGCGCCAACCCGCCGACGCCGTTAAAGAATGAGGGGTCTCACCGCACACGAAAGGAGGGAAAAAGTATTTGGGAGGGAACTTTCGGACACTAGCACGCTCCCTCTCGGTTCTTAGCAAACAAACCTCGGCGCCTCGGGACACCTCGCCAGTGAGTTGTTTGACTTCCCTCCTTGATGTGCGTCTGCTAGTTGTTAGACAAAAACAACGTACCGCTCGAGTTACTTCGTCTGCTTTTTCTGAAAGGCGAAGTCGAGCTCGCTCGTAAAGACCTGCACTTCCGAAAGTCGCAGGAAAGGTAAGACAGACGCAGACGACGTTGCAAAGGAGCAGACGACGCTCAGATAGGGAGTCGCGATCAGCCAATCAGGGCTCGGCGTTCTGACGTCACCGCTACTTCCTTCCTCATGCGCAGAAGACGAAAATGAGCCCACTTGCGAGGCGTATAGAAACGCACAGGACGTGGCCTGCGAGTTTATCCGAATTATCCGGTAGTTAGAATTAAGAGAGTTTGAATGAACGAGATACCACTATAACGATCGGCACGCCACTTTCTAAAAGGGGCTCCGTTATCCGCGTGTATTACACTGGTCCTCTCACTTTCGAACGGTGAAACGAGAGCTTCCTGCTTGAGCTTCAAGAGAATAAACGCACCCAGAGTGGTTCAAACTGTCTTTATACAGCGACCTTCCACTTAAAACTCTCGCGCATCCTTGCGCCGGTATATGCGTGAGGATGTTTCATGATGCTAGGGAGGGTGTTCTTTAAACTCCCTTCAACAAGTGCGTCCGCCAGGCGGGTAACAAGTGCGGAGCCTGTTCCATTGTCTCGCTCCGGCGAACTTTAAAAAAAGGAGGACAGAGGCTTGGAAAGGCCTTGTCCCGGGTCGCCGCGGTCGGGGCGGGGTAAAGTGGGACTGCGTACTTAAGGGATTAAGTGTAGCGGCAACCCTGCTGAGACAAGGGGCTGCACGCGAGCGAGCTTTAGACCCCTGTTTACTTAACCTGTATCTATACGCGTTTTTTTTTTCTCTTCTTTCGCCTCGCTGTGTACTACTGGTCAACGCGTAGATGCTTTCGCCCCATCAGTGTGCGTAGTAGTTACACTCTGAAGGACGGTATAGTGGATCATTTGCCACCGGCTTCGAAAGGCGCACGCAGTGCAAGGTATGATTAGTAGACAGGCTCGTTTTTGATGATTGTTTCTTGGGCTTTAGTCAATAAAAATGACCAGTTTAGTTGGCAAGACATCCTAGTTAACTCACAACAATAGAAATACAAGGTCACCGTCTCGTCTCGAAAGGGGGGACAGGTTATTCTCAGGTTTTCACCATCTCCCTAACATTTGACCAATGAAAATAGTTTCAGATTCTGAACGTTACTATCATTGCTCTTTTTAGTCGCGTTGTGCAATGCATTTTGACAAAAGAAAAAGTCAAATATTTGGTCGTAGCTAGGAGACGTGATGTAGAAATCATTGCTTAAAAACACTGTCCAACGGCGTCCCCTTTGTCTTCTCCAAGGCGCAGGAAGAAGGGTGTGTCACGATCCTTGATTAGATTTTTAATAGGAAAATTGTACGCCCATTAGTGTAATTTCGGATTCTCTTTTAGGACACGCTTACAGCCTGTGGATTGAGTTATCGCCATAAATAGACGATCTCGGAATCCACTCTCGAGTGCCCCCCCTTAATACACTATACACTGTTTGGGTTTCGCGGTTTGGCCGCGAGATTTTCGTTTTCAGACTCCAAGTCCGTCGTTCCGCAGTTAATGAGATTCCAAAATTAAGGTTGGTTCAAACACTTGCGACATGCTTACAACCAAAAAGGCTAAGGAAAAAAAAAAAACGGTTTTAATTTGTTTGTGACTGCTTGCTACCGTCTCTGCGCAGCGGTTGTGAGTGCCCCCGAGACGCTTAAAACTGGGTTTGAGCCTCTCCGGTCGTAAGTTAAATTCCCTCGATATTTTCTTTTTACAAGCAGCGAGAACCAACACGAACGATGAAGCGAATTCTGCTGTGACAAAAGGGCGTCATTCAGTTTTCACTCTTCTTCTGTTGGCCGCCATTCGCTTTCTAAAACCTTTTACCGCGTCCCGCAGTCGGCGCTTTTAAAGGATGTCGCCACTCGTAGTAACCACGAAGAGCAGCTCCTCTTTGTCTAGGAACTTGAGTCGTAAGTAGTCGGAATTGTATGCGAACCAGCCTTTATCCGACGAGTGAACGTCGAACAAAAAAAAACACGAGGCGAAAGAAACGTGAACATACACTCTTAAAATTGGGGGCGTAGTACTTACACCCCTTGCCCCATATATAACACCCCAAAACTACACTTCCACGTCCAGTCCACTGGCGTCGAGCTGACGATACCAACTAATACGAGCAGCTTGATAGCTGTGTTAAAATAACTTACTAAATACCTTATGTACGCATTCAAATAATAATAATAATAAAAAACACCGAGTATTTGCAGGAGGGTCAGCAAAACCTTGAGTGTTTTTCTGTAGTCTTTAATGCGTGCATCAGGTATGTTAACAAGTTGTATCACTCAACTATCAAGCTGCTCGTGAAAGTTGGTATACCGTCGATTCGACGTCAGTGGGCTAAACGTCGAATTGTAGTTTTCGGGGTGTTATATATAGTACCAGGGGTGTAAAACTACACCCTTTATTGCTGAGAGTGCAATAAGCCACAGCCTTGAGTGTACAAAACGCCTCTGTGTTCGCTTTCCTGCAGAACACTCGGAAGGCCCATCGCCGCGACTAATAGGAGAAACTTAACGAATAACGACGCTCAAAATACACCTATAAATAAGCGGAAAAAAAGAACGATATAAAAAAAAAAACGACGTGTGTATGGAAGGTGAGCATGACATCTCACTTTTTAGAGCCTAATCAGATTCTCAGCTTAAACGTCCCTCGTTGGAATTCTTGCGTTGATCACCATGATTGGCCGCCAGCCCTTTCTGCGAAAAAACGAAGAGACAGGCGCTTTTTAAAAAAAAAAAAGTTTCACAGACTTTATGAAGCACAGGACTTGTGCGTCTGCGTCGGATTTCAGATGGCGAATTCTGTCCCGCCCTAAATAAAAGGGATAAACTATTTTTTTATTATTAAAAAAATGTTTGGGCCTATTCTTGGCAGGGGTTACAGATCACTTATTGGACCACCTGCCGGCTAGGAAAAATATTTTAACGCTTAATTAGTGGATTCTATAGGTTCCCGACACATTACACTCGTGCGCGACCCAACGTCTGCCGCGGTCAATATTGTGATCCCGACGGAATCGTTCGTTTATTTTGAGTGTCCTAATTTTTTAAAATCTCTTTCATAATCAACAACCACATAGATGTGGTCATATTCGTCATTTTCGTACTGGAAAAAAAAATTAGAACATATATTCTGGTTTGACATCACTTGCCATGGCGTCGCCACACGGCTTGTACCGTACCCTGCACTGCATATTTGCACACTGGGCACTTTTTTTCTTTAATTTTAAGCTTAGTGGAATGGAATCAAGTCCCGAAAGCTTTGGCTGTCGATCCTTCCGTCGTTCACTTAGTGTCCCTTGACAACTTAAGAGACAAAGTGCTTGGATTATTATGTTGACGTTCTTTGGGATTCGTTCTTTAGCGTTCTCATCGACGAATGCCGCAATTTTATGGGCCGCGGAACGATAATAATATGCGCGGAACAGTCCACACCCTATGTTCCTTAAGCTGTCACCAACATTCTCTAGTTTAGTTCAGCGCTCTTTCATATTAAAATGTAGCTGTCACTGCCAGCTTGTCCGATTTGATTTCGATCTTTTATTCTTATCTATTTCGCATACACCAACTCCATCAAGCATCTGATGTCACCACGTCAGTGCGGTGGCGCTGCTGTAGGCACTGCGCATGCGCAGACGGTTCTCGCGAATCTTTGTTTCTGCGCAGGCGCAGTGCCCACCACACCGGGCAAACGCGCGGTCGTCTGCAAACTGCGCGCGTGCGTGTATATGCGGAGGAGAGCAAGTAGTCGTCTGCTTCTTGGGCAGGAATTGCGCTGACGTCAGAACGACGCCGATGTCTGATTGGCTTTGATTGAGAGGATAGTGGGTAGACCTCAATGCTGGATGCTTCGAGGTTTACCCACTATTTTTTTTTTCAATCAGCCAATAAGAGCTCAGCAAGGAGCAGACGAACTTGCGTTTCGCATAGAAAGGATGACATCTGTTAAAGGCCGACGGCCAGACTCGCGATTCTGCAAGGCAGAAGATCCTCCTCACCATGGGGGAGGAGGAAACAGGCAACGGTGGACAGGGTAGAAGGGAGGAGAGGAGGAAGGGAGAGAAAAGAGGAAAGCGCGAACTGGTCATCGGTTTTTAAGTACAGCCATAGAAGAGTCTCAGACGTGGTGCCTGACAGACGTTGATTGTGTGACGACGTCGCGGAAGGTTGCAGCTAAACCTATGCTTTATAGTTACTGCTGCGTACGCGAGAAGTCTAATCTGCTCTGTCTTCCTTTTTCCATTCAGCAATCCTTAGAGAAGTCGGTGAGGAATGCTGCCGACGAAGGGGCCATCAAGGGCAAGGGAGCTGTGAAGCTCGGATGGATACAAGGTGTCTTTGTGAGTGATATACGTCTCTCCTCGATTAGCCTCCCCTTCCATTCCTGCGTGTAATATAGTAGCGCATGCTGGTAGACTTAATGATAATTAGAGCGTTGCGCTTATATTTCCCGAACTGTATAGTTTCTAGACAGTGGTTTGAAGGCATCGGTGATGGGATGCGAAAGTTTGACAAGATACCGTTGCATGGATGAAGAAATAACAGATAAGAACGACAATTCCGGCGTCCCCCTAAGCCTGATATCCGTCAAAGCAAGAAATGACGTCGTGGGCGGCTCTTACATTTATTTCAGTGTGAACAACTTGTCAGCAAGACAGACGACACTATTGTCTTTCTTGCTGACGAGTTGTTTTCGCTTAAAACAAACGCCACAGACTTGGGGACAAATGCCACCGACACCCACAATAGAATTTCTTGGCTTGACGAACATTAGGCTTAGGGTATAGATCGACTCATACAGAAATCTCGTTTTTTTTCTCTTTCATTTCTTGAGTCAGGTTTTCAAACCTTCAAATTCTTTCACCACCGTATATGTAGCGCGACATTCTCACTGAGTTTGAGCTTTTTGCGATGCGTAGTTTATTTATGTAGGCTCAGAAACAGGGTTTCATTTTGTCTATCACACCATGTAGAAAAAAGTAATTCTCTGATCGAAATCAGACATGTCTACAGAAGGTTCCAATTTCGATCCATTCTGTTAGAAGTAATGCTAATGTCTACGTCGAAAAAAAAAAAGAAATAGAAAGAAGAAAACATCCGGGTACGTTTGCTTATTCTCCAGCGACGCAAGAACAGACTAGGCAATGACCGTGCAAGTAACAGTTCGCTATGCCTTGGTATATATACCAACCGGACACGTCATGGATGTCATATTTCATGTTACAGGCTTTATCATAGGAATGACATTCAGTATTCTCTGTTTCGAACGACAACGTTATAATTGTGCCATAAACCAGGTTAGAGCCAAGTTCTTAGTAGTTTTCCATGAACTTTTATCGCGCGATAGTGCGTGTGGATAGACGGCGTGAGGAGTTGAACTCCGTGTATATATACTTTGGATTCTTTACTCGTTTTTGGTCAAGTCATTGTTAATTTAGATTTCGTTTTTTCTTTTGCTTAGGAAAATAAAGTATACGTATTGGAAGAATTGAAAAAAAAAAGAAAGAAAAGAAAGGTGTCTGCTGAAATAATTGAAATATCTTGGCTTGGAACTAGATGTAGCATTAGCATGCTTCACCTGTTTGAAATCCTGAATCACCAGAAAGACAGGTCAGCGCAAGAACTCCGCAACAGGCGGAACGTAATGCCGTTCACTATAGGGCTGGCCAATTGATCGATTTATCGATTCATGCTTCAATCGCGATTAAATTTTAATCGCTTAATCGGTAAAACTGTGTCCAACACGCATTACACAGTCTAATTGGGAACGCTTTAATTTTTTTTTTTTATTCTTGTCCTTGCTAAGGTGCGATGCCTGCTCAACATCTGGGGGGTCATCCTGTTCTTGCGACTGTCCTGGGTTGTGGGACAGGCCGGAATCGGTGAGTCTTCGTTTCATCGATCATTCTATCGAATTAACGTATCGTCATCTTGACATTTGGTGAATGACGAAACCCGACATGACTCTGTCAGGTTTGGGATGCGGCATCGTCCTCCTGGCGTCCGTCGTCACCATGCTCACCACATTGTCCATGTCCGCCATTTGCACCAACGGAGAAGTCCGGGGAGGTAAGAGGAACGATGGCGTGCACGCTAAAACGTTCGTTTACACCCTTATAAGGGTGTAAGTCAGTTTGTCCCAGGGCTAACATTCTAAACCTTCGTTAAACCACTGTCAGCACCCTATAACCTTGGACAACGTACTGTGGCTATGCATGCCAAAGTTACGGGCGCTCGTGCGATTGCTCATCTTGAGCGTCCATTAAATATGTGCACGCACACTCTTCACTTCTTGTGAAATAGCTGTCCTATAGGGAGTATTCACTCGACACCATATTTGTGGGTGCTCTTTAAAGCGCATGCTCAGAGCAAGGTCACATTAATATGCTGCTAAGACCGGCAGTCTTGATGCATGGTGTGGAATGCACGCTGAAAAAGAACTGCGGAAGCTCGCCGTCAGCACGCGCTCAGCAGTCGCGCACACAGCTATGCCGCCAGTGAATACTACCTCTAGGCCTTTTTCCAAATCTTACTCTATTATGGATCCGAATTACTCCGGTGGATCATGTCGCGTGACAAGACAGATAGAGCAACGCTGGACGGGGATAGGTTTTCGAACGCCAGGGTACAGTACCTTTAGAGTGGGATCGAGTAGATTTTGGAGCACGACCATTTCAGAAAAAGGCAGCAGGCCGGTGCCATTTTCAGCGCTCGTGCTTCGATTGCCGATGTCTCGAACGCGCGTGTGCCATGGGCTGTGGCCACGGTGGCTGTGGCATAGCCTCCTCTATAGTGACAAATCATGGCAGATCGCCACGAGAAACGACCTCCGAAATTGAGAAGGTATAGAGCGGCAGACAGCGGATGAGAGGAGAGCCAGGTGACGGGCGCCCCGCTGCGGCGAGACGCCGAAACACACTTCTCCCGAGCGATGGAATGTCCGCTCGTGCTCCTCGCGTTCCTCGCGCTACCGCCTCTTTTCTCGTCAGGTTTGAAAACCATGTTTCGGGTCCTCGCCGCTGCAAAAGCTGTGCGCTCACGTCCAGGTTCCTCGAGAAATGCTCTCTGCTACCAGATCCTTGCGCTCCAAATCTGCGATCGGGCACTCTATGGCTCCGTGGTCTAACAGCCAGGCTTTGTGAGTATAGAGGAGGCTATGGCTGTGGCATAGGCTGTGGAGATTGCAAGCTGGTTCGTGGATTTGTAAACATTGGAACGCGCGATAGTGTGGGAACCGTGGTTTAGCGTAAATTCAGTTAAACTGCGGTTAAGGGTGCCCGTGTAACAAGGGTATATATTGCTGTTAAAGTAACAGCCTTGGCAATTTATTTTAGAGTGTTGCAAGCACCCTATTTATAAGGTGTTCGTCAGCGCCCTAAGGGTGTTATAGCAACACCCTTACCACTTTTTGGGGTGTTGAAAGCACCCTATCTTTAAGGTGTTCGTCATGGCCCTAAGGGCGTTATAGCAACACCCTTAGCAATGCACTCCATTTTTAGGATGTTGCGAGGCGTTCGTCAGTGCCCTGGGAGTAATAAAGCAAGACACCTAAAAAAGCCGATTCACACAAAACCAATTTTTAAGTTTTTTTTTTAATTTTAAGCGCAAGTTACTGCAACATTTATGTTTCGAATGTCGCGTGCAAGACTCCTTGAACTGCTTCTGCCACGCTTCATACGAGGCACGGATGTCTCGGTGATTCTCGACTTAAATCGATCTAAGCTTTCGCAACACAACGCAACGTAACGAAACGGGGCTGTGCGAGCCGGCTTTAAACAGGGCACTACATTTTTAGGTGTTGCATCCATCCTATCCTTGAAGGGGCCATGAAACGAATTTAGGGAAGAATTTTAATTTAGGACTTCACTAATCGCATATCGTTTACTTGGCCAAAAGTAAGGGGGTAGGAAGTCAAAAGCCAGCTTTTCGGTACGAACATATGAAAATACAGCGGACTATTTCGTACCTTCTTTCCTTCGAAAGCTCTCCGCCTTTTCACTATGGCTATGTTCCAAATCTTACCCGAGTAACCTGCCTCCTACGTCAGCGGGTAATACCACGTGACATCGCGAGTAAACGATCCGCGACTCGATTTTGGAACGGCCAGGATAATCACCTGGATACTACGCGGATTGGCTTCGTCTTGGGCGACGGCAAAAAGAAAACACAGCGGCGATGGCAGAAAATAGCAGACGATCCTTTTGATCATGGAGAAAGCACCCGAAGAACGGTAATGTTAATGACGACGCGGTGTTTTTTGAGGTGGATCCACCAGCTCCTTTTACTCACCTTCGTTTGGAGCTGTATATTGAGATCAAAATTACTTACTCCTTACAGCTAGACATAAAACAATGTGATTTTATTAATCAGCGCGATCGCTGCAATTCTAGTCACGGTGCCCTAAACGCATATATTCCACGCATTGTAATTTGCACCGATTATGTGTTGCAGAAATATATTCCACACGGTGTAGCGGTACAGCGCGAGGGTGCTTTCTCCAGAATGATATGAAACTCACGTTCGCTTTGACGCGAATGTGATTACAGTGAAAATTTCGAAGCCTTCACTGCTTTACAAACGTTATCCTCTCATTACACACACTCTGGAGGAAGCAAAAATGCTACATTATCATATACCGAGTTCAAACATTTTCGGCCTTGAACGTGAGATTACGGCATTCCCCCAACGCCGAGGACGAGGATGCGGAGAAGCTCCTGTTTACGCTCGCACTCAGATAATAACAAGTACACGTTCCCGGGCAAGGTGGACGGTCTGGATGTAATGCAGTCAATTCCTGCGTTGACAACAGCAAATCGCAATAACCACACATGCTGCACCTAATTCTTTGTCATTTCGAACGTCCGCCACCAAAACCAACGGAGCAAGCGAGCTTTGACGGCTGTCGGCGCAGAAAGCAGACGACGAACAGATCACGTGACGTATTTACTCGATTTGATCCGACTTTACCCCCCGATCGAGGAGGGTAGCGCGAGTAATTACTCCGGAGTAAACAACCCGCTTCTGGAACGCGAGTTCTGACGTCATCGAGTAAGCTCGAGTAAGTTTTGGAACGCCACGGTACGAAACTTTTACTCCGGAGTCGGATCGAGTAAATTTTGGAACACAGCATATGACACATCCGCGGTTCCCAAAGCGCGTCAGCGGTGCCAACCTGACGTCAGCCGAGCCCAGCTCACGGCATTTGGCACGAGAACCGCGTCACTCGGACGTGTGCGCTCGTCAACGATCAATCCGTCGACGAATATTTGGATTCGCGTTCGAGGCCAATGAGTGCCCTGACGGAACTTATCGTCACTGGGGAATGACAAGTTCTATGGTGTGCATAAAAAGCACAGTGGAAGCTAGGAGTCATCGCACCGGTGCCGAAGAATGTCACGACGACGTGATTTCACAATTCGCATTTGAGTTGAGGGATGAGGCTAAGGAGGAAGAAGTAGGGAAATTGTTTCATGACCACTTTAAGGTGTTCGTCAGCACCCTAAGAGTGTTAGAGCAACACCCTCAAGGCCGTATCGCTCATGCATCGGGAGGCTAAATCTACGGTAGGACAGCGCTGACGGAGCGCTGCCTTGAACGTAACCTGTAGCATTGATTCGGCGCCGTATCAGCGCTGCATCGAGTCAGTGCTGCGTCAGAAAGGTCAGTGATATTTCCTGCACGAAGGTAGCGCTGTGGTGCATCTATGAACAGGCCTGTAGGGTGCTGACGGACACCCTAAAGTAGGGTGCTAAAAATTTTGGCAACGTCCTATAGATATTTGTTGCGGACAACAGGAGCGAGGGCTGTCTCTTCTTTTCGTTTCTTCTATCATGTCCGCTCTCCCTAGCGTTGTAAGATCCTTTTCAGTCATGTCACCCATATATAGACCGTCGCTGTGCCGCGGTTGTGTAACTTGTGCTGATATATGACGTAGTTGGGTTGGTCGACAAGTTTAAGCATAAGGCCAATAAAAAAAGTATAGAAAAAAAAAAGTAGAAGTATTGGTGCGAACCCCTTGAATTCTAGCGCCTTCCAATCGGAAAATAAAGCGACTTGTTATTTTGCCCCAACTCAGCTACGTCAGAATTCAACATGGCGGCCGCCACAAAAAAACCGGCATAAAGCGACAATATACTTTGTTTCACGTCAAGATATACGGAAGGTCACACGCGCGAGCTTCTTGCCCAGGGATGCAGACAGGACGGCTCTGTCCTATGCCCGAAATCCAGCATCACGCTCGTTGCCTTCGCCCGTGCTTTAGCTGCGCGTGCACGCTCGAAACTCACGAGCTCACGAAGCTCACGAACCACGGGCATAAGAGCGTGGTCAGACTGTCACGGTGTTGGTTTGCGAATGCGATGACCCCTAGCTTCTACTGTGGTTTTAACGTGAAACGTTCTTTGGCTATATGTGTTCGCCATTTCGCGGAGCCCAGATAAAAGCGTGGCCGCGAGGCTCGACACCGATTGGTTGATGGGTGGGAGAGGAGAAGTAAGTTGCTCGACGCTGATTGGTTAACGGAAAGGTTATGTGACTAGAGGTGCAGGCGAGGAGGAGCTTGACCACCTGTGCGCATTGAGGGAGGAGGTGCTATAGAGTATGGAAGGCTCCGGAAGATCGCCCGGCTTATCAGCCAGATTAGCGCTAGTATCGCTTCATTTTAGGAACAACCATCGAGTGTACACATATGGTACGCGTTAAGCTATCTGACGAAGAACGCTGTGAACGTGTACGCGTCTGGAAGCTCGGAGTATCGCTAAACGATTGTGGTGCTATAGAACGTTTCACGTACGGAACACTATGGCCTAGAAATTCGCCATACATTTTTAAACACGCCATCGAGCTTGTCGTCGCATCTGATAAGAAGTTGGCAGGGTCAGACCTCGTGACGTCACGGCGCGGTTAATTCTGGTCCTGACGTCTGCAATGGAAACCAAAAGATAGCCGAGGTGTTTCACCTCGGCTATCTCGGTGCTAATAAAGGCTAGAAGCACACCAAAGGCTATAGAAGCCCGAACGCATATCGCAAAGCTATACGGGCTCGAGCTTGTTTTAGCTCTCGCTGCGCTACACCTCAACACTATAGCCTATGTGCAGACTCTTCTGCTGTTCCCTGACCTATACTTTGGGAAAGTTGGGGAAATTTCTCCTGTAGCCTACAGCTGTGCGAGGAGTTTGACGACGACTGCATTCCGTTTCTTCCCACCAGGCGGCACGTACTACATGATATCCCGGAGCCTGGGTCCTGAGTTCGGAGGCTCCATCGGTCTCATCTTTTCCCTAGCCAACGCGGTGGCCATAGCCCTGTACGTAGTGGGCTTCTCGGAGTCTGTGCGGGATTTGCTCAAGGTCAGTGCCCACCGTTTCCACGATCCTCGCCGCGTGAGTCATAGGGGATCGTTGTTTGTTTCAAGGGAGCGCATCAATTGGTGTATAAACGCATCGCGCTAGGATTTGCCTTACAGATGTGCCTGAAGGTGGAGGATCTAATCTGTATCAACATTTCACTGAACAAACTTACCGGGGTAAAAAGTTAGAAATCAAGAACTCCTTACCTACGGCGCGTTCGTCTGCTACGCATCTAGCCCTGCGGGCACCTCTTTTTTTTGTTCTTCTTCTTCTAAACCCGACTTACGTTTTGGTTTTCGGTGATGCCCAGAATGGCTATAGCTGAAATTATGCGTTTCTTTATCTAAAGAAAAGGCTAATTATTCAGAAATAAATAACCGTTTACATAATATTCCCAAACGCTGTGAACCATGGCACCTCTTTAAATAGGCCCTTTGACAATGACGTCATCAACTCTTTTTCAGTGAGGCACAACGTTTTTGGGAGAAACTTTGATTGACGTTTCGTGAAACACCTTGTACAAACACAAAATTATGATTAAAAAAAAGCGATATTGAAATAACAAAAGGATACCCTCGGCACAAGAGGAAACGAGTGTTGACGTCATGATTAGCGAGATAATTACCTAAAATTGACTTACTAACTTTAAAAAATGTTTGTCGCTGAGCCGTGTGTTTTCGCTTTCCAGCAGCAAAAGTGAGTACAAAAAATATAGAACGAAGTTTGAAATTGTGTTTGGTGCCTGTCGAAATAGAGAGGCATCAAAATGTGCAATAATTATAGCTTTTTTTCTTTTTTTTCAAATGTGCGCACCATTAAATTATCTGAGTCGGCCATTGTTGGGGCACGCATACTCCGAGCATGCATTGGAAACGAGGACTTCGTCAGCGTTCGGACATTATTCGGATCCAATCAATTGCTTCGTGCCCAAGAGACGTTGACTATCAGTGTTGTTCGATGGGGTTTTTAAAAAGTGTATATTATTCCAGACCCCAGATAATTTGGGTCTGCACACTGAGCATCTATGCTGAACGGCGTCAGCATTCGACGTGAACTCCGATCCACTGACACGCTTCGCTTTGCTGCAGGCATTTAAAATATGATGACCCACAAGGTTGCTCGATGGGGTTTGGGCCTTGATCGACACAGACACACTCACAAAAAAAAAGACCAGTCATCTGTGATTACACAATACAGTGATCACGGTGATAGCTGCGTACCTTATCAAACTCTATAGCGTTTTTTACACCTTATGTTTCGGTCGACACATTACTTGACAGGGCCATCACCAATGTCTGGTCGAAGAGTGACAGACTCATTTTAGTTATATAAACTGAAGCCCTTTAACGGACACTGCGTGAAACTCGGGTGGCGTGATGCAACGTCACCGCAACTGTGGCCATCTAGCGGGCGCTGAGCGAGACTCACATGTGCAGCTGTCCTCACCAGATGCGGTTCAAATACAACCTGAGAAAGACAGTGGGAAGGGGAAAAAGGCGGAAACTAGGAAGGCTTAAGTGGTGAGGAGCGACCTCCTTTCCACAAAGTTTTTTCTAGCGTTCGCCCTTTTCCCCCTCGCGCTCTCTTAGAGCTGGCGTAACTGTGTAGTAAAACGCTTAAAAAAGTGGCGGCGTTTTTCTTTTTTCTTTTTGTATTTGGCAATATAGACAACGGATGCCTTACTTCAACGTTACTTTTAGTAAGGGCAAGAATGCATATAACAGCTAGCGCTGTAACCACCTCCGGAATTTCAATATTTTTTTAAAAATGTTTTCTTCTGCAGCAACAAGGGACGTTCATTATCGACGGAGGCCTCAACGACGTCCGGATAGTGAGCGGCGTTACCGTCATCTTCATTTTGGGCATCGCCATCATCGGCACAGAGTGGGAATCCAAGGCAAGTCCCCACTATCACTAACGTACAGCGTTTTTTTTTTTATAATGCGTTAGCATTAGGACGCTCGTTTTGACGAGAACCCAGCGGTGTCTTTCGTTTGTCAGTGCTGTGGAGAGGGAGAAAACAAGGGGGAGAGGGTGACGCGTGCGGCGCTCCCATTGGTTCGAAGCGCTGACGTCAGCACGCGTCAACCTCTAGCTCTATCCCCGGCGCTGACAAACTGACAGACACCGCCGGGTTTTCGTCAAAACGAGCCTTTTCGTTTTCGTCAAAGACACGCGCACAGCTGGCGCGGAGCCAAAGAGGAAAAGCCCCGTGTTCCGCGGCGCGATGGAATATGGCGTGCTTATAGTTGCCGCTATGCCGTCGCCGGTTGTTCTTCGCTGTGTTTCCGTAGTAGCTGTGCGTGGGCTGTGATGTGTGTGTGTGTGTAGTTAAAACGATGGATGCGTTTCCCTCTTCAAGTGATATGGATGTGGTTTGTTCCACGAGTGGTATAGATGACCGTATCCAAGGGCGTCGACGAACTCTGACGGTCGAAGTACAGCAAAGGAGTGAAACTAATTACAAGAAGATTCATTGGTGGATCCTTTTGGAATAACTTAGCATGACCCTTGGGAAACGCGACACACGTCTTCCATTGGGAAACGCTAACACTGACACTGTAACAAGACCAAAAAGAGGCAGCAAAAAATAGAGGAAGCAAAAGAGAAAGCCAAAAGAGGAAAATGAAGGGGCCAGCGTTAGCGTTCCGGAAAGGGGAATATGTGTGGTGTTTCCAAGGCTTATGCTTACGCATTCCCTTAACATTCACCAATGGATCATCCCGTAATTTTTTTAAGTTCTTAGAGATTTGTTAAGATAATAAAAAAAATCAAATAAAAAGAAACCGTGAAAGTTGCATTAATGGAATCTGTGCAGGTGAGTTACAGGACCAGGGGAACATAATCTAATGGGTTAACCGTCACGATAGGCCGGTTAATGAAGTAAATTTTGTTAATGAACCTTTTAATTAGTGAAAATATACGCGCAGTCTCAATCAGAAACTTGCTGAGCCTCGTCTAAAACCACCAAATCTGTAACTTTTACACAATTCGGAGCTCGTGGGAACCACGGTAGTGCGCTAAAGTTATGCAATCGTTCAACAGGCGCAAAACTGGCGGTGAAAAAGCTCGCACAAGCTCGGAAAAACCGTGTTGGCGCGCTTTCGGAGCCGCAGTAGCCGTAGCTTTGCGCTTGCTGCACGCGGCCCAAATCTTTCCAAAAGTGTATATATATAGTGGTCTTCGGTGACGCTCAGCAAGTTTCTAATTGAAAGCATACGTTTATTTTCACTAACAAGTTAATTAACAAATATGGTTAATTATCCCGCTTATCGTGACTATTTTTGCCCCGAGATTATGTACCCCTTGCCGTATAACTTGCCTGCAAAAACCGCATTTGGTGCAGCTTTCACTTCCTTTTTAGAGCGCAGCTCTTAGGCGCCCGTTTCCGGGTCGAGCGGAGTCGGCGTCGGCGTAACCTCGCGTTGCATTATGGGACGTTTCCCATAATGACGTCCCATGTGACGTCACGAGGGTAACATTTTCCCGCTAAATTTGGCGGGAAAATTACGTGACGTCACGCTGAGTTTAGCGAAAATATTTAGCAGAAAAGTTTCCCAATTCAGTTTCCCCGCTAAATTTAGTGGGAAATTTTTCGCTAAATTTCCCCGCTAAATTTAGTGGGAAAAGTTTTGCTAAATTTCCCGCTAAATGAAAGGGGGCAGGAGAGGAGGAGGGGAGGGTACAGAGGGGGAGCAGGGGCATACCCTCCCCTTCTCCTCCTCAAGAGTTGCGCTCTAATTCGGCATTACAGAGACTCGTAAACGTCTTTAATTTTTTTAAACAAATCTGTAAAGCAAAAAAAACAAAAAACTTTTGTATTTTATTATAACTTTGTACGCATGATTATCTGACCGTGAACTTGAAATAACTCTGAATGATGCTATAAGCGAACTATCTCTGATAGATAGTGCGTAGATTTAATTTCGCAAATACTACAAAAAACTTCAGTCTAGTTATACGCAGATCTGAAGGGTCCCCGGGCTATCCGATAGGTGGCGCCAGGGTGCTAAGCGACTACGAGGGAACGGAACGGACTTGATGAATCATCTTTAACCACGTAGTACCTTCAGTTTATCTGCACCCTTTCACTTTGTCATATTTGCTTTTAGCACCTGGCAAAAAGTGGGCATCCCTAACTTTCTGGGACATCAACGCCTCGGCGCACGAACTAAAATGAGAATTTCAACTGAACGAAAACAAACATCGCAATGTTCCCTGGGAATATTTTAGATATCACAGTCTTAAATATATCACTTAACAGCAATTAATATTCTGGACGCGTATTGTTGTCATTCCATGGTTTTACAACATTTTTTAGCATTGAGCTTTACATCTTAGGAGAAAAATGGTATGTTTTTACACCCCTTGTCACATATAATTAGGGTGTATACTTTCCGGTGTTTATAATGGCAAACATCGACGGATGTTTATCGGTGTTTATTTATTTCACCAATACCGGTGCTTTTCGGTGAATTCTCTCGTCCAGACGCTAAAAAAGGTGATTGCCGGGGGAAATATTCCGAGTGTAAACTAGCGTTGAAGACGAAAAACAAAATTTATTTACATCTTTTACACAATCTCTTTTACAGTTGATTGTAGTATACGCATGCATACATTCCTGGGCTCGTGTCTGTCACTGACGCCCGCTTCTTCCTGTTGACGACGCGCTATTTCGAGACTGCCCGCTCAACATTTGCGCTGGACACGGGAAGCCCCAAAACGTAAAACGAGGCTTGAGATAGTACAGGGCCTAGGCCAGCAGTGACTGGCCTCTTGGCCACTGAGCTTCAAACTCGGCGTCCCTGGAGGACCGCTGACCTTGGGGAACAGTGGAACAAAGCTAGTGTCCTCCAAGAGTCCAACACAACGTAGGTCACAAAAGAAAGACAGGCAAAGTACATGATTCCGGGTAAGATAATGTGTTTGACAAAAGTTTGAGTAAAATTTAAAAAAAAAAACATAGCTAGAAAATAATGTTTAGAAATCGTTTTTTAACGTTTTTTTATTTCCTTTATTGGCGGATGCTTATTAACGTTATTCGGTTGAAAAAAAAACAGCGCTTGTTCACAATTATGAAAAAACTGTGTTTTTCGGTTTTAACCGATTTTGTATTTTCAAAACCGGCGGATGTTTATCGGTGTTTTTCGGAGTTCGATGTACAGCGGACTGACGTTGAACTAGCGGTATCAACTTTCACGAGCGGCTGGATAGGCCAGTTGTACAACTTACTGAAATACGCCTCGCAAGTGGGCTCATTTTCGTCTTTTGCGCATGAGAAAGGAAGTAGCGGTGACGTCAGAACGCCGAGCCCTGATTGGCTGATCGCGACCCCCTATCTCAGCGTCGTCTGCTCCTTTGCAACGTCGTCTGCTCGCAACATCGTCTGCGGTTGTCTTACCTTTCCTGCGACTTTCGGAGCGAACTCGACTTCGCCTTTAAGAGAGCGCAGACGAAATAACTCGAGTGGTTTGTTGTTTTGTTTAACAACTAGCAGACGCGCATCAAGGAGGGAAGTCAAAGGACTCACTCGCGAGGTGTCCCGAGGCGCCAAGGTTTGTTTGCTAAGAACCGAGAGGTGAGCGTGTTAGTGTCCGCAAGTTCCCTCCCAAATACATTTTCCTTCCTTTCGTGTGCGGCGAGACCCCTGATTCTTTAACGGCGTCGGCGGGTTGGCGCAGTTATAACGCCGTCTGCTTTACGTCTGCTAGTCAAAGCGATGGCTGCTTTACCTTTCCTGCGTCTGTCGGAGATTCACCGCTTTTTCACCGGCGAGTCACCGTTGCCTCGGGAAGCAAGGAGATAACAAGAGGAAGAAATTGACCTCTTAATCTAAAATTGAGGTCAGCGATCAAAGTATAATACGGGAAGGGTTCACAAGGCTCGCGCGGGCATATTCCATTCAGCACGCCAGCCGGTCGTGGGCAGACGGTCGCCGAGTCGCGGAGTGCTTGCTAGGCCTAACTGCCGTACTCGCTTGGTCGCTTTCGGTGGAATCGTGGCCGTTGGAGCTTTTCCCGGGTGTTTGTGGATCCAGCGTTCTTGTTCTTCGTGGTCTGTTTCGAGTACTTTTTACTTTTTTCTTGCTGCTTGAAGTCGGGACGCGTGAGAAGCGCAGGTAGAAAAATAAACGCCCGTGGGTCGTCCCGACCGCGACGCTGTCGGCCATGCTGATTTGATCGTAAGAAGTGCGTAAGACAGCTTCGGAGCTGTCGTAAGATTTAGTCGTAACCTGCGCAAAACTTACGAAAATTTCGCTGCGTGAATACGAATTTGTTCTTAAGTTTTGTCTTACGCACATTTTTGGCGTAAGACAAGTCGCAGGAAAGGTAAGACAGACGCAGACGACGTTGCGAGCAGACGACGTTGCAAAGGAGCAGACGACGCTCAGCTAGGGGGGCGCGATCAGCCAATCAGGGCTCGGCGTTCTGACGTCACCGCTAGCCCCTGCGCAAGAAGCAGACGAACTTGCCCTCCGCATAGCTAATGTATGTGTCATTGACTGAGAAAAAGTAATCGTTTTTTTTTTGTCCTAATGCAAAACCTCGATGTTCTTTATTTTTTTTATTCTTTTGATACATACTTTAGCTGTTTAATATGTTTCATCGCATCGTTATCAATCCCCTCGTAAAAGTTGTGGCCGTTACTTCGATATCAATGCATTGTACGTCGAACTGGAGTTTTTGGGGTGTAAATATGTGACAAAGGGTGTAAAAGCAAACCCTTTTTTCTTAGAGTGTATGACAGAGGGTGTAAGAATACACCCTTTTTTCTTAGAGTGTATGGCAAAGAGCAAAATATGATAATTTTGTGAATCTCATTCACTAAATTATCAATTTTCTTGCTTTTCTTGACAAAGGCTCGTAATTTTCCCGAGGACGGCAGTTTTTTGAGTATTATAAAATGTAAATTAATTAGTAGTTTGATATTTCCTTGAAAACATTTTATTCTACAGAGTGTCCCAGAAAGTTGGCCGTAGAAACCGTATTGGTTAGTTTTGTTCCAGTCGGTTCTGCTGGTACCTAACATATGCAGTTAGGGACGAGGTACGCCAAACTGTGTGGCCGCCATTTGTCTCGATTTGCATCGGTAGAAAAGTAGCACCCTGGAATGTGCGTGAGCAGCCTGACCTAGCATTTATTAATTGTAATGTTCATTTATTTACAATAACTGTCGATCCCATCGTAGGGCATCATTGCTGGGTAGAAAAGCGTACAAATGCATATCACTAAATACCAAAGACTTCCACTCATTCAGAGCACAAGCAGTAAGAAATGACTTGCGAAGTCTTGATTAGTAACATTTTAAGGAAGCCTTTTACAATGGTTAAAGGGGAAAATATAGAATATACAAATATTGATGGGCGGTTGGTAGGGTAAAATGGTAAGTGGGTGTTTACCTTGGGTGGCGTTTTATACCCATTAATTGCGTAGTTGAAATTTAAAAAGAAAAAGAAAAAAGTCTGCGTGTAGCATCTTTTTTTTTTTTAACTGAGGCAATCTTAAGAGCTTAGAAACAGATTCTTTCGCATGTGCACTAAAAATAAATCTGACAGCTTCATTCTGCGTCCTGTTTCTCGCGATTGATGCCTATATACCTGTGGGAATAAGTTCCCAAATTACGTTTGCATATTATAAACTCCGTAATTGTTTATTAATTAAAGGCCTTTTTCTTCATGGCCCCCGATTTTCTTCAAACTTGACCAAACACACAAGCAAATGTCGCTGAACCCAAACATTAGGTCAATATGTATATATTGTTTGCTAAGGTATTGAATTTATAATTTTGGTTCTCACCGCAGATCGGCAAGCAGGGTTTCATTCTTTAGGACGTAGAAATTGTTCTCAACTGATTACAAGAACTTTGATGGTGTCAAATGAATGCCCTGGAAGCTCTCTTCAGCCCCCTCGCAGCAGTACAAAACAGATGCGTGGCATACTCTGTTTTCTAGACTGTCTGCTCGACTTGCTAGCCGCCTGCCAGCGCCGTCACGGCACCGAAAAGCGCGGGTATATCTGAATGTTGGCTTTGACGTAACCTTCATTTGCCGATTTCAAAATAAATATTCTGGATTTCGCGACACATTCCGGAAAGAGTGAGAGCCGGGGATTCAGAATATATAGTTAGGGTAGCTAAAAAAAAGTTGCCAGGGTATCTACTACTCACACATTTTATGTCCCATATTCTAAGAGTGCTGAAGTGAACGTTTAGGCACACATTTTCAGTATAATCTAGTTTCGTTTTGTTCCTGACTGTATACAACTACTGTGTCTGCACAAATTGTAAAACTTGTGTTTTTGCTTTGCGTTGCCCAGGCCCAAATGGTGCTCCTGGTGATTTTGCTCGTGGCCATGGTTGACTTCATAGTGGGTGCCATGATCCCGCCCAGCCTTGTCGAGATGGGCAAGGGATACGTCGGGTGGTCCAGTATGTATAATCAAGCTTCTTCCAGTCTGTCATACCTTACATCCAACATCAGAACTTCTTTCTCTTTTTTCTAGAGCAATAGCATTTATTTTGGCAGTTTAACCACTTGATTAAACCCCTTGATTCCCAGATGGGACACGTTGAACCCTTATTGGTCCCCATTGATTCCCAGCTGATCCCAGTTAAGCACCTACTGCCGCATTGATTGATTTCCAGTGAAACCCCTATTGGTCCCTTTTTATTCTCAGTTGGTCCCAGTTAAACCCCTTCCGGTCCCTATTAGTTCTGAGCTGGTACCAATTGAATCCCTATTGGTCCCCATTAATTCCCAGTCGATCCCAGTTAAACCCCTACTGGTTTCTATTAATTCCCAGTGGTCCGGCCCCAGTTAAACCCCTACTCCCATTGGCTCCTAGTTGGAAACAGTTGACCCCCATTGATTCCCAGGTGGTCCCAGTTGAGGCCTTACTAGTACCCATGTGTTAACTCCCAGTTAGTCTCAATTAAGCCCCTACTGGTCCCCATTGATTCCCAATTGACCCCAGTTATATCCCTACTGGTCCTCATTGAATCTGAGTTGGGACCTGTTGAACCCTTCTGGTACCCTTAATTCCCAATCGGGATGAGTTGGACCCCTATTGTTTCCCACTGATTCCCGATTTGGACCAGTTGAAACCAGTTAAGATTTCCATTGGTCCCACACAGTTAGAAACTTTTGCCTGGTTTCTGTTGATAAAGGAATGAATATAATATTGGGTTGCATGTTCTGACAAGCATATTTTGTTTTTGCAGCATCACTAGCACTTGAGAACTTCGGTCCAGACTTCAGGGAAGGCGAGAACTTCTTCACAGTGTTCGCAGTCTATTTCCCGGCTGCAACTGGTATCTTGGCTGGCGCCAACATCTCTGGTGACCTGGCTGTAAGTGGAAACTTGCATTACTGGTATGCTGGTCTAAACCAAAAGCCAATCCTGTATAAGCCAGTTAGGACCTTTTGACAGAGTGCCAAACGAGGCAGATGTTTTCGACCTACTTACTTTTTTGTTGCTCTAGGAAATTAGCATTAGCATTATAAAATCATCACAGATGTGATTTTTGATTACTATGCAAATGTTGCAATTACTGATTCCAGTGCAGAGAGCAAGTCGTCTGCTTCTTGCATAGGAGTTGCGGTGATGTCAGAATGACGCCAAGCTCAGATTGGCTTTGATTCAAAGGATAAGGGGTAGACCTGAATGCTGGATTCCTTGAGGTTTACTCACTATTTTTTTTTCAATCAGCCAATAAGAGTTTGGTGTTCTGCCAACATCGCACCCCCTGTGCAAGAAGCAGACGAACTTGCGCTCCACATATTTACTATTCAAAATCCAGTTGACTACTTTGACTCTAAAATTGTGAATTACAATGGGAGATTGCTGCAGAATGTATTTTCGGCTTGTTTCTATTTTATAATGAACTGTTTGGAGCTTTTGGTATTGACTGTATGTGTGTGAGAGAGTGGAAATATTTTACTACTTGAAATTCTGCAAGTATAGAGCAGAGATTCTTGCCATAGAAAGGAACACATATGCCTGGTATACAATTTTCCAGGGGAACTAAAAAAACGTCAGAGAGAGAAGGAAAAATGCTAGAGGGACACTTTTTGTGCATTCCCTAGGGGTCTCTAGGGACACCTTCCCTTACTTCCTAGAGGTTCTAGGGACATTTCCTTACACTCCCTAGGGTTTTCCAGAGACACTTCCCTTAAATTCCTATCCTTCATTCCTTAGGACAATCTTTCTGAACTCCCAAGAGTTTGCTAGGGACTCTTTCCCCACACTCCCTGAGACATTTTCTCTAGCCCTTAGGGTTTACATGGTACACCTCCTCTATGTTTACATTGCACACTTACCCTGTGCTTCCTAGGGTTATTATATACCTTCTCCACACTCCCTTTCAACGGAAACTTTCTCTACGATCCCTTGGGCTCCCCAGGGACATTTTTTCTACATTCTCTAGGGTTCCCCAGGGACCCTTTTCCCTCTCCCTAGGAAAACTTTTTCTACAGTCCTTATAGTTTCCCTTGGACACTTTCCTTACAGTCCCTAGCATTCCCTAAGTACTTTCTCCACACTTCCACCCTAAGGACAGTTTTAGAGTGTAGCTCTTGGGTGCCCGCCCCGCTAAATTTAGCGGGAAATCGAATTAGTCATGAGGTCACATGACGTAAATTTTCCTGCTAAATCTAGCGGAGAAATCGGATTTTTTCATGGGTGATGTGACACGAAGTCATGTGACATCATTTTCCCCGCTAAATTTAGCGGGGAAACTGAATTGGTGTTGAGGTCACGAGGCATCAATTTTCCGTCTAAATTTAGTGGGGAAACTGTGGGAAAAGGAGGATGGGAGGGTACATGGGGGAAGGAGGGGAGGAGGAGCAGGGGGAGGATGGGCAGAGGAAGAGGAGGGGCATATTCTCCCCTCCTGCTTCTCAAGAGCTGCGCTCTAATTTCACATTACAGAGATTTGTAAACGCCTCATTTTCTCTACAATCCCTAGCGTTCCCCAGGGACATTTTCTTCATGCCTTGAGATCCCTAGGGTTCTCTAGGCACATTTTCCTCACCCTCCTTAGGAACACTTTCCCTATGCAATTTAGCCTGGTAAATGTCGAAACCAGATAAAAAGAGACAGATTCAGTGGAAAGCGACACTCTGGTAACATTGAATGCATCCGATCACCACCATGCCACATCCTTGGCCTTTACCATGCTCACATAACACATTGTCTCAGATGCCTCAGAGGCAGCTTGGCAGAGTGTTGATGTCCCACATTGCTGTTTCAGGACCCCCAGACGGCCATCCCCAAGGGCACCTATCTGGCCATCATTGTCACGACCATCTCATACATGTTCTTTGCGGCCATGGCTGGGTCCGTGACCTTGCGAGAGGCCACGGGCATACCCCCAATCAACGGCACCATGGAGGACATCCGCAACTGCACCATCACCGGGGGATGCGAGTACGGCCTGCTCTACGACAGTCAGGTGGGTTGTAAAAAATGTTGCTCGATGAACGTCCACTGGATATCCGTGGAACGTTAGAACATCTCGAGGACGTTTTCAGCACATCTGTGCTGCTACGGGTTCTGGTTAATTTGTAGGAAAGGTCTTTGGGACGTCATAGGCTAGGTGGTGCAAGCTACCTCCCTTTACAAAGCGTACAGCCGCTATCATCTATTCGTCCATCCAGCAATCGCCCAATACCATTACCATTACTGCTATGCCGGAACCGAGCCTTGAAAGCACCACACGTGTGGCTCGATACGCGTAGCCATGGTCTTGGTTGATTTGTTTCAGATGTGGTGCAGGCAATATTGAAATGTCATAGGCTAGGTGGGCAAGCTGCTACCGATTACAAGTAGTACACCCACAATCATCCATCCATCTAGCATTGCCATAATACTGTTGCCGTAAGCGAATTTGGAACATACCACATGTGTGGCTCGATGCACATAGCCACGGTTTTGATTGATTGTTTCGTATAGGTAGTGCAGGTAACTTTGGGATGTCATTTGCTAGGTGGCACAAGCTGCTGCCCTTTACAAATAGTAGAGCCATTATCATCCATCTCTAGCATTACCGTGGTACTGTTTCTCAATGCGGGTAGCTGCAGTTGTGATTGATTTGTTTCAGGGGTAGTGCAAGCAACATTGGGATGTTACAGGCTAGCTAGCATAACCTACTACACTTTGCAAACGGTACAGCCACTATCATTCATCTTCCCATCCAGTATTACCGTAATACTGTTGCCGTTATCATCATTCCAGAACAGGGACCAGGAACGTACCACAAAGAAATGTGTTAGCCAACGCCAGCTGTCGTCTCGTAGTGTACTGCATTTCTTTTTTGTATACAACAGTTCGGTATAAGCTGATGGGTGGCTCATATGTTTAATACTTTTCGGTATGTTTCTGGCCTGGTGCTAATGCCATGCCAGAACATTCCGAATTGCAGACCGAGCAAAAGTAAGGGAAACAGCAAACAAGTATGCAAATTAATATTCAAAAGTAAATGACAAATATAAAAAGAAGTCACTAAATATTTAGTAGGGCGAATATGCCACTCCACTTATGACAAACTCCAATACATATACAACAATAATAATCTTTATTTTGTAGGGTGTCCAAAAACAGCACAAGGCCTAAATAGTGGTACACCGCTCGTCATCAAGGATAAATGCAGGCAACAAAACAAGGTCGTGACTATGTACAAATAATTGACTCAAGCCTATGTCGAAAAACAATCAGGTCGCTAAAGATATCTACAGCAGATTGATCCAGTCTGTTAAATTCAAGTTGCATTCTTGTTAGTGGTGACGCGACATTCAAAGCAGACGGGTAAAAAGGACTTTGAAATCGATTGGACCGCAAGGGAGCGTGAAAACAGACAGTGCTTAACAAAAGTGGTGAGTCAACAGCACCGTTTACAACCTTATGTAAAAACATTAGATCACGTAATCGTCTTCTATCGAGTAACGTACACAACCCAAGTTTTTTAAGTAATTGTTCGTAGCTGTAGTAGCAAGTACGGTCGAAATATCTGTCGTAAATTATGCCTATGAAGCGTTTTTGAACACGCTCAATACAGCATGATGCAGTGAGGTTAATGCAGTTCCATACAGAAGAAGCATACTCCAGCTTCGTACGCACTAGGCAACAAAATAAACGCACAAGACAAACAGGCGAAGAAAACTTTCTCGTGAAACGAGATATCGCCCCAAGGTTTCTAAAAGAGGCGTTGCAGATAGTTAAAACGTGATGATTAAAATTTAACGATGAATCAATAAAAATTCCAAGATCACGAATGACGACGACTCGGGTGATGACGCTGCCACCTATTGTGTAGGAAAATGCAAGCGAATCACGCTTTCTAGTGAGAGCCATTGTTCTTGTTTTTTGTTCGTTCAGTGGAAGATAATTCTTTGCACACCACTGTGAAATTTGCAATGCGTCCTCCTGAAGAAGTACGCAATCGGAGTGAGATTGTACACGTCGAAACAGTTTGATGTCATCCGCATACAAGAGCACTTTTGAATTTTTCGCACAGAGCGAAATGTCATTCACAAACATCAAAAATAATAGTGGACCCAGGTTGCTTCCTTGGGGTACTCCAGAAGGCGATGAAAAATAATCGGACATGGATCCTGACACACAAACATAATTTGTACGACATGTAAGATAACTTTTGAACCATTGGCAGTAAGTCAAGCACAAACCATAGCTATCTAGTTTCGTCAGAAGTGTGCTGTGATTAACCTTGTCGAATGCCTTCATCATATCAAAGTATATTACGTCGACTTGCTCGCGGTTGCAAACCAATGGAACGGCATAATCTAAAAAAGAGCATAGATTGGTTTCAACCGACTTACCCTTCAGAAATCCATGTTGTTCTGGGTTCATTTTATGTCTAAAGTGCCTTTACAGACGTTTATGCATTATAATTTCAAAAACTTTGGAAAAACTGCACAACAATGAAACGGGACGATAGTTGTTTACAGTACTAGGGTCCCCTGCTTTATGAATCGGAACAACAACAGAGCGTTTCCAGATAGAAGGAAATATTCCTGAATGTATCGATAAATTAAATATGTGTAATAAGACAGGAGTTAGCAGTTCGGCACACCCTTTCACAATAAAACTTGGAATTCCATCTGAACCAGCAGACAGCTTCGATTTCATATTACGAATGCTTTCCCTGATTTCAGGTTCGTCAATTGGGATAAAAGACAGAAAATCAGATGTGCCATGGCACGTCGCGTTATTGTCAGGGACAGATGCTGATGAAAAACATGATTTAAAATGCTCAGCAAACATGTTGGCAATTTCAATTGAATCACACGTATAGCCAGAACTATTTCGCATCGGTGCCACGCTACTATTCCGCTTCTTTTTTGTCGGTACATATTTCCAAAAGTTTTGAGGCTTGGCGTACATGTCAGACTCAAGCCCATGCAAATGTGCACTTTCGTCTTTTTTAAAAAGCCATTTTGCCAAAGCACGACAGTCACTAAATTTTGCGTACCACTTGTTCAATCCCGACCTTTTAAAAAGACGGTGATAATGAAGCTTACGTCTCAAGCAACTTCTTAATTCCTTTGAGAACCACGCAGGGTACTTGTTTAGTCTCGAAACACGTTTAGGCACGAAGTCATTTATCGCGCTCGAGACCACTTCTGTAAGTGCCTCAGCAGCTGAATCAGCGCACTTGTTATTCAGGATAGGTTTCCAGTCATAGCACTGAAAGTACTTGTACATATTCAAGTAATCGCCACTGCTGTACAGTAAGTACTCATAGCTGCATAGGGCCTGTTTACGCAGCGGAAAACAAAATGACACAGCGAAAGGCGGATGGAAATGGTCAACACGTGTTAAGGGGTCAGTGATTGGCGAAATATAGTTGATTGGAGTAGAAACTAATACAAGGTCAAGCACATTTCCAGCTGAATTCTGGATGGTGTTACGTTGTTCAAACCCATTAAAATAAATAAAGTCAAACAGCTCAAAACAAAACAAGCTCATTTAATAAAATTTCTGAGTTTATTATGAGAGGGTTCTGTCACACATACTATGTTTGTATGTTTTCTACCTGTCCCATATTCATCTACATGTAACATATGCCACATGCTCATACCATACATGTCACATGTTTTCCACACTGATCCCGTGCATGGAACATATTTTTACTTTTTAACATATCACGCAGTGGAACAGACAAGGAGGTAGAAATGCAATATATGGTGTGAAATTCTGAAAATTAGAGCCTGCTTTTTTTCCCTCAGTTTCGTTTGGGAAAGCTTACTAACTTAATGACATCACCAACCCAATCCCATGGCTGTGATGCATATTGGCAGAGAGGTTGGGCAAAAGTACACCTCGCAACTTGGCCTGGCAACGACTTGGGAGAGACGGTTAGTTCGCTAAGCTTGAAGCCGAATGCCCGTCTTTCATCTATGAACGTCATGATTATGTTCACGCAGTATTTAGAAAAATCGAGGAAAGAGGTTTCATGGTTCCTAAGAATCTGAACAGACGTTCCAAATTGGTTCCTTTGATTGGGAGTTCCTGTTATCATGAGGGTTAGACTGAATGCAGGTGAAGCTTGAAAACTAACTGGATGGGTTCAGTTTTCAACTGCATCTTTCAGCGAGGCCGGCAAGGGGGGTTGTCCTCTACCTTATATAATCCTGTGTACCGTCCTGTTTCAGGTGATGGAGCTGGTGTCTGCCTTCGGACCTCTTGTTTATGCCGGCATCTTTGCTGCCACGCTCTCCTCTGCCCTGGCCAGCTTGGTCAGCGCCCCCAAAGTGTTCCAGGTAAGTTTCTTTCTTTTGCATAGGAATCGATAGGGTGCCTTCACATCTGCTTTGCTTAGGGTGGTGTCATGAGATGTGACACTCCTTTTTCGTTCTTGTTCTGGAACACAAAAAAGAGTGTCTCGGCGCAAGCTTTTGGCGTTGACTGTGTTACGGTGGAAGTTTGTTTCCTGTTGGAGTGACTTCGTACGTGCGCTTTGCTTATACTCCATTTTATACATAGTACGCAGTGCTGTCAAAGCTATTGGCACTAGATCGTGGCTCCATCTACGGTTTCATTTATGCGAGAACGCGTGCAAGTAATCTGCAAGATCCAACCATATGCTGGCACCAGCAGCTTTGACTGCATTGTTCACTAAGTATAAAACAGAATATAGGATGGTGACATTAGGCTGCGTGCCTTCACGTGTGCTTTGCTTTGGATGGTGACAGCAGACGTGACGCTTCCACCGTGTGTTTATAATGACGCATTGTTCTTCTGGTAGGCTCTGTGCAAGGACAGGATCTTCCCACACATCCACATTTTTGCCAAGGGTTATGGCAAGAGCAACGAACCACGGCGCGGCTACCTCCTTGCCTGCGCCATTGCCCTTGGATGTGTTGCCATTGGTGAGTGTGCCCAGCCAGTAATTACAGTGAAACTAGTGCCGCAGTGAAACATGACTATGATCAAATCAATTTGCGAAACAAAATATTTATTAAATCAGTATTTTATTTTATCTGTTCAGCTTAAGACCTGTATTATATTTGTTTATTTATTTTAGATATGTATTTTTTTGAGAAATGTATTACCTACAAGCTTTTTGTGTACTTTTATTATGTGCTTGCTACTTTACTTCAAGCATACTACTTTTGCTACAGGCTTTCATTAAAAACTTGCTACTTTTACTACAGGCTTATCTCTACTTTTGTTTGCAGTATAGTTAAGCTGGTGGCAATCTTTAAGGATCACATGAGCAGTTTTGCTGCTGATATGGTGTAGCACTAATATTGTGAACTTTTTCTTAGTTTCTGAATTGATTTTGCTATAAATGTTTGACTAGGATATTAAGTGACACCACTTTGCAAACTGCTGTATAATTGTTCGCTAAGTTTCAGACATAAATGAATTAAGAATCAGTTCATCCTACGTACTAGTTTATTCTGTCATGTATTAAATATTAATAATGAATATGCTTACTGACAGTGCAAACAGTCAACAATTAAGCACTCAAGTTAAGTCTAACTTGATGCAAAATCCACACTTGTCAAATATATGGTAAACTATAGTAACTTATAAATGATTGAGTCAATGAATCAAAACTGTAGAGTTACTTAATGGAGTGGTCCTAAACCTCCTGACAAATCATCTGTAAAAGAAATATATTAACGATAAAATGTGTGCCAAAAATTGAGTGCCAGTACAAACTGGCATTTAATTCTGATGTCCCGTGTGCCACATGTCCGTGCGCCACAAGTGTTTCCACATTTTCCTTTACCTCTCCTATTATACTGCACATTCATAAACAAAGGTCTGCCATCTTTATCTTAGTTTATGTTGTTACTTGTAAACACATCGCCGCACATTGCTAGTGTTGTGTTTTTCATGGTCCTCTTTCTCGAATAATTGGGGTGCCGTGCTCATGTCATTCAACTTTAAAAAAATATTTTCCCTTCTTTTTCGACAGGCGAGCTGAACGCCATTGCACCCATCATATCCAATTTCTTTATGGCTGCATACTCCCTGATAAACTTTTCTTGCTTTCACGCTTCCTACGCCAAGTCCCCAGGTGAGTTTGCACTCAACATTAGTCGTATGTCTGAGAAAGGTTTTGGGATCCCAGCTCAGATTAGAGAATGCGATTGCAAAAACCATTCCATTGACAGTTGTTTTTGATGCATCTATGCACACTGCGTAGATTGTGTATAGGGTAGTCAGGCATGAATTGATTTTAAACTTTCTAATATCAGTTTATATAGTGGTTAGGGATGTGTAAATGCTGCTTGAAACTGAGTAGTGCAGCGTCGTGTCGTCCCTAGCTTTGATGACGCAAAGAGAGCCAATAGGTCGTGGTTCTGCCTAGGACTGTGAAGGTTGTGAATGCTGCAGTAGTATTCAAATCAAACCACCATTCGTACAGTCCTACTAGTGGTGCATATGGTTTCACACTCGGATCTAATAAAAATTTTAGAAAATTCAGATTCTAAAATTATTTCCAAGATTTGCTTTGTTGAGTGCACTTCCCCTCGCGGCATGGGTGCGCGCCGGCAAAGCGTTGCTTTGCCGGCGCGCACCCATGCCGCAGGTGCAGCTTCACTGCAGTACTCATGAGCGCTCACAGGAAAGTACACATTTCAGGGACATAAATGTTCTTACTTCAAATATTTCGAAAAATGTTTTTTAACCTTTTATAAAGCAAATGTTTTAGTTGTATTTTCTGCTGTTAGAATAGAGAAGTATGTAGTATACATACACACAGGTTTAATTCAGTCAAGTGATTGTCAATGCACATCGTCTTTACACTCTTTTCTCCACCTTTCTATCAAATTTTCATATATAGCACACCATTATAAAAAATATCTTGACTATGAAGACGGATTACATTTTATTAAAACAAGATTTCCATAACTTGGCTATAGCTTGAGCAGCATCTGCTGTCTCTTTATTTAAGAAAATGTTGAAGCCCCAACAACTCTCTTGAGCAGGATCTGCTGTCTCTTTATTTAAGAAAATGTTGAAGCCCCAACAACTCACTTGACAGTATTACTGCATACTTGTGCCTGAAAAGGTACCAAAGTGCCAAAAATATAGTTTTGGAATACCACCTGTATACTAAAAGTAAAGGTGCCAAAAACAACAAGGACCAATGCAAAGTAAGACAATACAATTGGCACTTTTTTCTTTTCCTTTGTGTCCTTGATGTTTCTGGCGCTTTTATACTTTTTAAACTATGAACCAACTATCCCAATTACCAACTTCTCACCAATGTATACTGTTCTTCTGTCATCCAATATGGGTGCACTTGTTAATCAGTACGGCTTTATTTCCCAGAGCACCAGCATGGGCTACTGATAGGTCAAGGGGTCCGATTTTGGTTGTGGTGAGAGCAAGAGCATTGTCGGCTGCTGATTTTGACGTTTTGCCACAGGCTGCGTGTAATAAACGGATGATATTTTTTTTATCAGTTAGCAAGGTCAAGATTGGACCGCACCTTAACGAGAATGCCTCACCAACACAGAAATGGTGAAAGAAGACTGTTTGTCTTTGATGTGCTTGTGCTTAGTACATCCTCATCCACCGGTTGATCTCAGCTTGTGCATGGCAGCAGAACTACTTGAGGTTTGGTAACGAAGCACGGGTTGTCAATGGCTTCCAATCTGAAATAGCAGACGATGACAATTTCAGCCCGCTTGCGATCCTGCTTTCCCACAATGCTCGGTTCGTAGCAGGCGATCAACTTTTAATGTGTTAATATTAGAACGCTCGTTTTGGCGAAAACCCGGCAATGTCTTTCATTTGTGAGCACCATTGAGAGAGGGAAAAGGAGGGAAGAGGGTGACGCGTGCGACGCTCTTATTGTTCTGAAACGTTGACGTCAGCACGCGTCAAACTCTCCCTCTCTCCTCGACGCTGACAAACTGACAGACGCCGCCGGGTTTTTGTCGAAATGAGCCCCTTTGTTTTCGGCAAAGTCATGCGCACAGCTGGTGCGGAGCCAGAAAGGCGGAGGCGCTGTGCAACACCTCCTAGATAGGGAAGCTGTATTGCTGAACAAGATGGCGTAATCAGGAAAGGTCAACGCTGGGCAAAGATTGGAAACGAGTGCTGTGTCGTCGCTTGGCTTCGAGTCAAGTTTGAGCCCAACATTGACACAATCGCTGTGTCAAATCTGTGCCCAGCATTGGCCTTCTCCAGTGATGCTGTCTCATTCAGCACTACGGCTTTCTTATCAAGGAGGTGTTGCGCTGCGGCGCGGTGGAATGCGGGCGTGCTCAGTCGCCACTCTGCCGCCACCGTTGTTCTTCGCTCTGGGCTTTTGTAATAGCGGTGTGTAAGCTGTGATGTGTGTGTATGGTTAAAACAATGGATACGGTTCCCTCAACTAGTGATATGGAGGTGCTTCCTTCCACGAGTGTTATGGATGTGGTTCTTTCCACGAGTGATATGGATAACCGTATCCAAGGGCGTCGACTCACTATGACAAGCAGAGTACAGAAAAGGGATGAAAACAATTACAGTAAAGTTCATTGGTGGATATTACGGAATTCACCAGCATGACTCTTGAGAAACGCCACACACATCCCTTTTTGGCAAACGCTAACACTGACCTCGTAACAAGGCCAAAAGTGGCATAAAAAAATAGAGGAAGCAAAATAGAAAGCCAAAAGAGGAAAGTGAAATCAGCGTAAGCGTTTTCAAAAGGGGTATATGTGTGGCGTTTTAAAGGGTCAGGCTAACACATTCCATTAGAATCCACTAATGGATATTCTTGTAATTTTTTCTGGTTTGTTAGCAGACGATGAACGATGTTTTCTCTTCCTATTTTCGTCTGCTAATGGGGCTTCGTAATGGAGAGACTGTACTTTACTCGCGTTAGCAGACGAACGCCATTTGGGCTCACCCCTAGAGAGGCAAATCAGATCTGGCCCGAGAGGCAATTGGATCTTTCGGTGACGAAAATCGGACCCCCAGGGTCCGATTTTCGTAAGCAGTGTTTTTGATGGTGCTCCGTTTGTTTTCCTTTCCACGTGTGCGAGACAGGCTTCCGTCCGGCGTTCAAGTACTACAACATGTGGCTCAGCCTGGTGGGAGCCATCCTGTGCGTTTTTGTCATGTTCATCATGAACTGGCAGACTGCACTCATCACCTTCGCTGTCATCCTCGGCCTCTACATCTACATCAGCTACAGAAAGCCTGGTGAGCTGTTTTAACGCAGAATGCACTATCCGGTCTTGTCTCGTTGATATGGCCAGACCCCGTTGATATTATAACCCCACCAGATAGACAACAATTTAGCGGACGAACGGGGTAAATATGTGGAGGAATTTTATCTGAATATTACGGACGACTCGCATTATGGATAATTGCTGGGGGGTGCGGAGGTGTCCGTGTTAACAAGACTTGCATGTAGCACATGATTTTGTCCTTTTGAGTGTAATGTTCGGACCAAACATTAAACAAATAAACTGCTAAATTTAGTGGGGAAGGTTTTTCCACTAGATATAGCTGGAAAATGGCATATAAATGTTCAGCTGTATATATGTATGTGTGTGTACGTACGAACAATTCAAGACGAAGCTAACAAAGATGCACACGTATATAAAACTGAGTGAAAGCAGATCCCGCATAATTCTGACTTTATACATAGAATTGGTGTGTTTAAAAATTTGTTGTGACATGAAAAGGGGTGGGTTGTTGCAGAGACAGTTTATTTTGCCACGGAATTCTTAATGCTTTACTAATCTTTGAAACTTTTATGGGATCACTAGAAAAAAGGAAATTTTGACAGATTTTTTTTTATGATTATAGTAAGTTGGGTCACTGGCGAGAGCTTATAAATCCATAACAAAACAATCAACTCACTGTATTCGATGAACTGCCTATAGGGTGTTTCTGTTATGGTGTCAAACTTAGACACTATACCACATTTAGCTATTCATTAACTTGATATGTTTTTATTAAGTCATATATTACGTAATACTTTATATAAGGCCTCACCTGACGCTTGGACCTAAACTCTGCAATAGACTTTTTGTTTTTTTGTGATGCCATATTTTTATTGCATTCTTGTGTTGCTGCCTTTTGTGACTGATTGACACTAGAATGATTGAATTCTTGCAGATGTGAACTGGGGCTCCTCTACCCAAGCTCAGACATACAAAGACGCTCTGAGCGCCGTGTACCGCCTCAATATGGTCCAAGAACACGTCAAAAACTACAGGCAAGATTTTCTTTTTTTGGCAGACTAAATTTTAGTTTATTGGTTTTCAAACTGTTGTCTGCAAACCCCCCCAGAGGACCTCGAGAGTGTTCATGGGGGTCCGCGCAGAGTAAAAAAAAACAACAAAACACTCCAAGAAGCCTCCCAGTAGGTCGGGAGTTCATGATGGCCAAAAGTGATATACGCTGTCCTAGGTCTTCATCTTTGTGCATTCTCTAAGAACATTAGCTTTTCATGATCTGCCCCTGATCGGAATGCAAAAACTGGGAGACAGTGCTCTATGCTGGGTGTATGCAGGTCCATTTTTCATGTAACTTGTTCAGACTGGTTTTTATCCTCACTTGAACATACTATAATCACTGCCACTTTACCCTTGACCATACAAATCATTTTTTTCTTACGGGAGTAGGCGTACTGGTGCTAGTCACTTTTTTTAGGTTACCCAAGTGGCGACTCAGAGCACTGAATTTCAGCACTTGTCCTTCATTTGACCTTGATGTGACCTTGATAAATCCTTTCCTCTTAATTTGACCCTGACGAACTTTCAATGACAGGCCTCAGATCCTGGTACTGACGGGTGACCCCAGCCACAGGCCCCCGCTGGTCGACTTTGCGTACAGCATCACCAAAAAGCTGTCACTTCTCATCTGTGGCAACATCACCCCTGTACGTACACATTTTTAGGATCGTGCAAATATTAGAACTTTCGAATAATAGTTTCGAATACTACACTATTTGATATTTGCTTCGAGATGAACTGCGATATTAATACCTCTCTAAGTGTTCATCGTGGAGGGTTAACCCCGTTGAGTGCGCTTCTTACCGAGCACCGGTGCCTTGCGGAGATGCAACACCCACGGAGCTGGCTTGCGCGGGTGTCGCTTCTCCGCAGTGCACCCGTGCTTGGTAAGAAGCGCGCTTAACGGGACTAACCCGCTGCGACCAATCTTCGTTTTTCTTTTCTTTATTAGGCACAAAATGCTATGTTATGACAACACCTCGCCCCACTTCTTGCGGGCGCAACTAAAGTATTCCCTCATGTTGTTAATTTCGTCAAACAAGTGTGCGCCCAGTCGGGTGGACCAACACTTCGAAAAGTACAAATATTGCATTAGCGCACTTAGGAAAAAATCACACTTTCAAAAGCGGGATGGTATGCACGCGCACATTGTGTATTTCCAAATAAATTGAAACTTTGGAAATGTCGATATGTATTGCAGTAAAATTTTTAAAAATTAAACTGACTATTATGCAACAGTATATGTTAAGGTGAGATGCCATGACAACCTGTGTTCCTAATTACATTTAACTCAAATTTTTTTCTTGCTTTTTAAGATTTGAAATTGAAGAAAGAGTGTTTGCATATAGCAAACAGATTTATAAACCCCTGATTAGGCATAGCTGGGCATCCTTATAGGTTTGATTTTACGTCAATTACATCATTTACTTGTCATCCCAATGTATACTTTGAACTTTCCAGGGTCACACTCCATATAAGTTGGATTAAAATTACTTTAGAAATGAACAAGGGGAAGCTTGTTCATTTCTAAGGTAATTCTAAGGTGCACCATGAAAGTGGAAGTTTCATTAGCATGGTGCAGCAGTGACAGGCTTGGGAAAACTATTAAATAATCGATTTAAAAAAATATTTGGCCCAAAACACTATACATGCCTTGAACGTGACATCATATGGCACTGTACCAGACTCCATTGCTCCATACCAATCCTGTAGCCGTACCTTCCGCAGCTTAAGCTTGCCGAGAAGAAGGAATTCGATGGTGCCAAATGTATGTTGCAAAAGGAACAGGCACCAGATTTTGGCCTGGAGTAATGGCGGCTGATGTGACGTCAATGGAAGCCATGTATTTGCTTTGTACTGAAAACCCACTTTTCACGCATGCCTAACACTTTTTATTCAGCAACCCACTTACAACTCACTCTAGTTACCTAAATCGAGGGAGATGCCCGAGTTATGAATGCTTACAAATTTTGAATTTGAGAATGTTATGAAGTATTATTTACATAGGAATGTAGATAAGTTGCCATTTGAAATACTGTAAAACCCTTAATGTTCGCGAGCCCTCAATTTTCGCGAATTGAAGAATTCGCGAAATTTAAGGGCGCGCGAAAATTTCGGTCCTTAAGATTTTTAATGCAGGCGTCCGGAATTCGCGAAATTTAGTGGTCGCGATTATGTCATCTGTGACCGATTCGCGAAAATAAAGGGTTTTACAGTACATATACTGTGCCAGCTGACTGGCTAGAATACTGCCTCATAATAACTCTACTTAGCACTATTTGGCCAACTCATGTTGTGAACTGCAAAACCAATCTAGGATTTTTTATAAACTTCATGCATGTATGATCAGAGGGGGGTGGGGGGAAGGGGTAGAGGTTTTAGATAAAATTACAAACAGGTTATGCTAAGAAATTCGTGCCTTGAAACTGAAACTTTGGATTTTGAGGTTTGAAGTAAGAGAACATAAATGTTCTGTAGATTTAGGAGAACAACTAAGCCATTTTGGTTTGTTTAAACAACTGGAAGTGTAAGACTTCAGAATGATAAAAGGGTTATGTTGTTGCAGGATGAATTCCTACGAGTTACATTTATCCCCCTTGTGCCAATTTCGTGGCAGGTCCGCCTAACGTACCGTTCCCGAAATGCGCTGGCAACCCGGGCAAACACCTGGCTTCAGCGACGCAAGATCAAGGCCTTCTATACCCTGGTAAAAGACGAGGACTTCACCCACGGCGTTCGCTCCATGCTCCAGGCAAGTGTCATCGGGGCATCAACGGCGTCGGAACATGGGTAGATGAACATTTTTTTTATTGTTGAGGGTCGGTTACAAGTTTAAGAAGAGCAGCTCGGACCCCTGCTGGTTTCCTCCTTTCCAGCATTCGCTCTGATAAGGTGAAAAGAGTTGAGAACCTTGAGTAAAGAAGCTTGTCCTGCAACTCCTGACCTGTAGCAGACTATATAGCAATTACTCGACGAGATTTAGCGTTATTGATACTAACGACGTCATTTGATGGCGACCTGACATTACCCGTAGCGAACAATATCTGTCTTATAACTCTCGCCGAAGTGGCGGACAAGATGCGTGCTGTTCGAATATGCCGACGACAATCGATGATGCAGGATGCTTCGCCACGGACTGAAAATAATGAAAGAAAAAAGCGCACTTCAAATAAGAAGAGTATTTCCTCGAGATAATGCTATTGACTACAGTATATGTCAGCTTAGGAGTGTAAAGTGATAATTAGGGAATTAATTGCCTAAAATCCCCTACGGACACTGATGGGACGAGAAACGCAGTGAGGAGTTTCAGAGGTCCCACCTTTGGCGCGAGCTTTCTGCCTTCGGTAACGCTTCAGCGTCTCGCAAGTGTCGAACGTGCATGTGAAGCTAAAGCGCAGCAAAAGGCAACAAGCGCTTGTTAAAGGCCAGGCGTTCGAAAGAGGCGCCCTGCCTTTCCCACTTCGTCGGGGACTTCTATAGGGACACATGTTGCAGATTCGACACCGCTTCGTAGCGTCGCAACTCTACTTTGGGTTCCTCGAGGTTCCGTCTGCTTAAGACGTTTCAGTCAATCGTTTTGAAGCGATATTATAATATTCTTTGTTTTCTTTTCGGCAACGGCGTCAACAGTCGGTGGGCGTCGGCAAACTGAAGCCCAACGTGGTGCTGCTCGGCTACAAGTCGAACTGGCAGACTTGCGAGCGGGAAGACGTTCTCAAGTACTTCAACGTCATTCAGTAAGTGCACCCCTCCTTTCTCCTCCCGGAACATTTCACGCTACCATGGAACTAAACTGGTTATTCACTACACACCAATTCAGGTTTTCCTGCTCGATTTAGCGAATAAATAAATGCTTCCTGCTTAATGTTGCCCCCAAATTTAGCGGGACACGAGTTGGCTAAATTTAGCGGAATTTATTGCGACTTTCGAGTGCTGAAAAGCCCCTAAATTGACACCCGGCGCAGATAAATACCACGCCGCGCATTTCAGGTTCCCCTACCTTATCCGTAGGACTAGGATATGGAGTCTCATTACCTACATTATTTAGTTACAATATTTCTGGGAGACTGACTAGGTCGACGTATTGCGGCGTATCACCGAACTCTCAAAGGCTGGTCCGGAAATTAGCGCGTACGTGTGATGGCCTGTGTTACGACGACTGCTTACAACGAGCTTCCAGACCAGCTGTCCTAGCGACCACCACCCCATCGACCCAGGTTCAAGGACCACCGGGGCTCAAACTTGATGTATAAACTTTGCTGGTTAAATAAAGGTCGCTTAATTAGGAAGATTTCCTCGTAGAAAGCAACCCATAAAGCACATTTTGTGTTAGAACTGCATTGTCCACCACAATCCCTGAAGAATGCCGTGCAAACACATTCTGCGCATACCGACTTTATACGTAAGAGTAAGATAAATCAAACATTTTTTTTTCCTTCTTGTGGCTGCTTGCTAACTATACATTAAACGTTTTCTGTTTTATGAGTTGTTTTCTATAAGAAAATCATTATGAACAAGAGTTATGAACAAGCATCGGGAATGAGCGTCACGAACGATCGACATGGACGAGCGTCATCAGCGAGTGACATGCTGGGAGCATTACACAACATTAAGGTTATATAATAAAGTTCATAAAGTAGGTCCGTCCAGTCGCAACGAGATGTTTTGGTGGCACCCTCTTATGGTTCCCATCACCGACCTCACGACCTAGATTATTATTATCGAGCGACAAGTTCGATGGTGCGTAAAAAGCGCGGTAGAAGCCAAGTCATCACATTCGTAAACGAACACCGTCGAAGTTAAAAGTCTGGCTTTGCTCTTATTTCCATCGACCAGAGCAGAGGTCGTGGAAGGCCGATCACAGCGACGTTCCGTGATCGGCCTTCCAGCGAAACTCCTATCAAAACGTGCTGGCGAGAGCAGCGTGACGCAGGACAACAGCACGAACCACACACGGAGTGTGCCAGTGTTCCCCGCGTCTGCGCCATGTTTGGAACGCATTCCGCGTTCCCTGGTCTTTGTCGGCGAGGATTGAGCGAACGAGGACTTTTCCATTCCCCAGCGACACCCTGGACATGTACCTGTCGGTGTGCATCCTCCGCCTCCCCGAGGGCCTGGACTACTCCCACTACGCGGACATGGAGGGCTTCGAGTCGTCCGCCGCCAACGGCAACAAGGCGGACATGCTGTCGGTGCCGGGCATCGAGAGGGAGAACTCCTCCGCGGGCTTCCCACGCAACATCTCCAGCGCGCAGCTCTCGCTGGGTGAGGGGGACGCGCTCTGCGTTATCGTCTCTGGAGACTCGCCACACTCACAGTATCTAGGGTGCCTTCATGTCCGCTTCGCATAGAGTGATGCCAAATGCCTCTTTCCCTTTCCCCCGCCGCCATTTTGTTCCTTATTGTTTCCCCGTGCGCTGGAAAGTGGCCTTTGTGTCCATCGGTCCCCCCATCCGAGGGGGGAAATGCTAATCCTTCCTCCGTGGGTTCCAAAACGCTGCTCCGAACTTGTGAGATAAGGTGCTTGTTTCCGGGAGGGTTATAAGCCCCACAGATTATCGCCGAGACCAAAATGGCAGCTGGTTTGTCGGCGAGTGGTATTACAAAGGGTGGCACCACCCTAGCAAAGCGCACATGAAGGCTCCCTAACAGTATCAACTGTCACTGCTTTATATAAACGAGGCTGGATTGCGCGTTTGTGTTCCAGTTCGATAGACTGTGTCGGAGCCGCTCGTAACTGCTTACGACACTGCCCTGGCGCCATCTATCGGGAAGTCTTGGAACACTTCCGACCCGCGTAAATATTTTAGACTATTTTCCTTCTTTCACGGCGGGCTTGAAATAAATTTGACAATGCCCTAAGCGAGTATTGCACACGTTACATAGACCTCACAAATGCTGCAAAACCTTTAGTCTATACTTGCACATCGGTCAGAAGTTTTCCCGGCGCTACCCTATGCCTGACGACGCACCAGCGACTGCTATGGTGGCCTTGCAGCCAGCCACATACTTTCTGCAGCACACACTTCACGCCGTCAGATTTATTCCCGGCAAGGACAGGTAGGACTGACCGTCGGCATGCTGCGGTGACGTCACATGCAAACTCAATGTAGATGACGCTAAAGTCGCTGGATGCCGGGAAAGTAGTGCTCAGCTCCCCGTACGGTTGCCGTTTTGGTTCATTAGATGTGCAGTTTCTCCTTGAACTCTTCGTTGTTGGTGAGTCAATCCAAATTTGCGGCGACAGGTTGCTCTATAAAGACGTCTCTTGTATACGGAGTTTTTGTTATTCACACATCATCAAAACCAGCGCACATCTTTGAACCGCCACCACATGCGACATCGTTCCTTGGCGGCATTGCAGAATAAATTTTTCGCCTTGAAACACCCAGGAAAAACAGTATCAGTGTAAGAGATCTGTGGAGATAAGCTTGATTGATTAGTTGATTTCATACACGGTGCCAAAGATGTTTATGTTGGCGAGGAACACTTTCAGTACGATGGCACTCCATAGCATTCTTGGTGCGGCCGGTTCTGAAATGACCATTTTGAAGCTCGGAAGATTTGAAAGGACCAAAACGGCGATCGCCATGGTAACAGAGAGCGATCAATCAATAATTCCTTGCAAAGTTTTGGACGTCTGTATGTTGTGTTTGTGTCCTGCTAGCAGAGAGGAAAGGCAATGGCGCGCTACTTTCCCAGGTTCTAGTGACTGTAGGCAATGCCAGTGGGACAAGGGAACGCAACGCACGGAAGCAAACTCGAATGCAAATGTGTGAACCAGCTTTAAGGGGGGTAAAACTTAATTTTTTTTTTAGAAGCCACATTTTTAACAAGATGTTTTATCAGCTTTCAAATATCTTAATGAATGCTGTCAGAAAGTTTCACTCCTGTACCTCAAGTATTTTTTTCTGGAATCAATAATTTCCGGCATACCGGCGCCATCTTAAGCACAGCTTTCTGAACTTTCAAATGCGTTTATCCCAATTCCGCATTTTGGCATCAAATCTCGATTCAGGAAAACTACCATTTCATAATGGTGATGTGGGAAGTCAGTTGCTAGCAGCTGTGAGCTTACTTTCTGCATTTTCGTGGTATTTTGTTATGTAGAAGCTACAATATCTTCACCTAAATCATGCAAAAAAAAAAAATTCACACTTTTTTTTAATTAAAAATGATCTTTTTCCAATTTCTTTTTATGGCCACATGACATGGGAGTTATACTGTATGTTTCACTATTAAAACTGGCCATTATCTTTACCTTTTCTTAAGGATAGCTTCCTCAGGTGGCACAGTTTTTATTTTGTGTACTTTTACATAACTCTTTGAATGATTGAATGATAAACATTTAAACTTAACGGGATACTACAACGAAATTTCGGCTCTTATATCTTGGTCTATACGTGTTCAAGGGAGCAGTATCACGCCAGACACACCAATCTCGGTTAAAAAAGACAAGAAAAGGAATTTTAAAGCGAATTAAACAATTAACAAAGGGCACCTGGTGGATGTTGCTGAAGCCTCATTTGTAATGCCCTTCTGGAAACCTTGTCAGGTAGTGACGATGCCTGTCTCTTTGGCCGCTTCGGTGGCTGGAACAACTAGGACATCTTGCTGACGTCAGCCTTGTCGCAGCTTTGCTCTTTGCTCGTCCTGAGACAATCTACGTCACGATTGCGCCGGATGTGACATGCTCTCCACTGGCTGCTCACCGAGTGCTGGCCAGCATGGGCCATTTGTAACGAAAAGTACAGCCATCAGGCTCAAAATACAAACTTGCGATTATCATTTACGAGTATTGAGGATCATATTCAGCCTATTTCTGAACACAACGGATATATTTCAAATTTCGTTCAAGTATCCCTTTAAAACCTTGCATGTCATTTTCTTTCCCAGCTATAAATATGCCCTGCAAATTTCATACAAAAATTGCTAACAGTTAAACTCCTTCCTGAGTAGTGTGATCCTCCCTAAAGGTGAAAGAGGTACAGCTTCTATTTAAGACATTCTGTAGAAACAGTCGAGGAGCTTCTCTGCGTCACAACCAGTCCTCGCACCGCCACAGGTGGCAGCTCTCGGGAGCCCTCGCCGCCGTCCACCCCTCACGTTGGGCGGGCCGCGACGGCCGTCCATCAGCAAGAAGGTGCCAACCACAACAAGGGTGCCGGCGCGACGCTGCAAGACGCGGAGCACGGAGTTGCGGTCAACGTACAGGCCCCTGAAGCGATCCCCGAAGAAGTCCGCGAAGTCCCCAAGGAGGTGTTGCAGTCGGTGAACCAGTTCATTCGCAAGCAGAGGAAAGGAACCATCGATGTCTGGTGGTTGTACGACGACGGAGGTGAGCACAACCACTCCTGCTGTAATCAAGTAATGGATTAACGAGTGGCGCAAGGAGCAAACTTGCCTAAAGAGTTCCAGTGACGTGGTAACTGAGAATGCGACTAGACAGGTATATATAATGGTCACGCTAGTTCATGGGTTTTCAAACTGAATTTTTAGGAACCTAGGGTTCCCAAAGATACCCCCCCCCCTCCCCTGGGCTTGACGAGCTCCATAGTATGTGCAATATAGTTTACAAGCTCTTTGGTTCTGCATTACTTTACTGCGTCAATTCCAAGTCCAGGAGAACTTCCTCTGCTGTCGAGATCTCAAATTTTACAGCGGAGCTGTTAAGGGCCAGGTTCCCCAGGATCGCGCCCGTGTATGTCGACACAAACCTACCTGGACAGCTACTGCCATCTATAAGTGATGGCGGCAAGCGCACAACCAGTATGGTTTCCGCCGTCGCTCGTAGATGGCGGCAACCTTTCCAGCTATTATAGAAGAATGGATGATAGTTGGGCGCGTTGGTGGGAATTCATCGTAGGAAACAGTGCAAAAAACAGGCAACGACGAAGAAGCACACAGTGTATCGAGTACAGCTCTGCTGGTTTTCCTTCTTCACGAGAGTGGAAAGCCTGTTTTGGATTAATTTTTGGTACCCCTGCGCTAGTTGGGTCTCCAAAATTAAACTACAATGCTTTGTAATGATAGTTTAGAATATGACTACCTTTTAGTGGCACTGAACTAAAAAAACAATTGACTGCATGTTGGTAATTTTGCCAAACATATTTAAATGCGGTAACTTTATAGGGGATGGTGCTCTTAGTTTAGGTGGTGCATAAGGCAGGAGGACCTTTAGTTTTTCAGTGCCTGGAAAAGACAAAGGTCACACTTTTGTCTTTTTGTGACGCTGCACGTGCTTTCCTTCAGCAGCACCCGGATACAAAGCCTTTGCGCTGAATTCTCTGGGTCACCTGAAGAGGAAAAGTGCACTTTCCTGCCATTTCCACTCCTCGTTCCCCACGCTCTTTCTACACCACCTGTTTGTGCTCCTCTCTTTCTTGCCCTTGCCACACTTCTCCGCTCCGCACGCTTTCTCACACCACCTGCTTCTGCTCCTCCCGTTCTTGCGTGCTGGGTCCGTAGCTCAGTTAGCAGCGCACGCAGCTTCCACTCCGGCGACAAGGGTCCAATCCCTGGAACCGGTTGCCATTTTTTTCAAGACTGTTTAGCGGTTACGGACTGACCGACATACACATTTCGTGCTTATGTGGCTTTTGAAGTTGGTTGGTTCTATAAGCTACCGCTTTAAAAAGTTTGAAGTACCCTATATTTACGCAATATTTATTTAACGAAACATGCTGCTATTTTGGGGTTGACGTCTCGAAATAGATATAAGTTATGGAATTGCACCCAACTCAAAATGAGTCTTGTAACGTTAGTATTGCGATAATTCATTCATTGAATGAGAACAAATGAATTGGTTTTAATGTCAGAAGGGTCAAGTTTGCCCAAAGACTGTCAATGTCAGGGTGAATAAAGCAAATGAATAAACAGGTAAATAATGTTCCAACATCCTCGAGAAGGAAATACAAGACTGACAGATTGTTCCGTTTTCGGTTGGATGCAGGACTGACAATGCTGATCCCATACCTGCTTACGACGCGTCACAACTGGAGCGGCTGCAAGCTCCGCGTCTTCTCCCTGGCCAACAAGAAGGAAGAATTGGACCGGGAACAGCGCAAGTAAGCGGTGGCAGCATTTTGTTGTGATCGGATCGCTCTACAGATCTTCCGTTGGGGGGTTCATACCAACCAGAATACTCGCATATCATCAGACAAGTGCTAATTCGGGTTTCGCTTTAGCAGTCCTGAAGTTATTAAGATTAATCGTTAGTCATTTTCTGAGGCATGCGAAACACCTCCTTCGTGAATTCAGGATATAAACTTACAAATTTGTTTTCTTTCATTAGCGTTAGTTCAAACATCAAAGTTTAACTCTCTTTCCGTTATATATTTACTACTTTCAGCATGGCATCGCTTCTGAGCAAGTTCCGAATCGAGTACTCGGACGTCACGGTCATTCCAGACATTGTGCGACCACCCAGCGAAGCGAGGTATATGCCCCCCCCCGTTTTTTGCCTTCTGTTTCAAAAGTGCAAACAACTGTTTAGATGGCTGCTGCAAGAGTTTGTCGCATGCATCATTTGTTGCTGGCATGCATCTACTAGTAGGAGCTTATTGATCTGTGTTCCCATACCTACTATGTATAGATGTTGACGTCAAGGCTAATTTTAGTCAAACTCTCTTTTTCATTCTTTGAATATCTATTCATTCATGTTTTTTTTCTTTATGTTTATTCCTTTTCAATAATACTCTTCATGTTCGTCCATGTTCATTGCAGCAAAAGGGAGTTTGAGGAATTGGTGCGCAAGTGGCGCAGAACTGACGATGAAGTGGAGCATGATCCTCTGGAAATTTCTGACTCCGAGATGCTTGCCTTGAAAGATAAGGTATGTTGTGGATGGACCATTCTGTTTAATGGCGTCAAAGCCTCTTTTCTAGATGCGTGGTAGCTTCATCATTAAAATCTTGCAGTATTTCTACGGAAGGCCGTAATGTAGGAACTGAATGTGTAGTAGCTTTCTAATTCTTTTGCAAACGTTCATCAGTGCAAAGTTGTGTCACTTGGAAGTGTAAAATTGGGCCACATATATGGGTGTTTTTCTTTTATAGGAAGGTACAACTACTTTCTAGATGACTAAAAGTTACTTGGTCATTACTCAGTAGTTCACTTGTCTTTTGCAGACATACCGACACCTCCGGCTCAGAGAACTGCTGCAGCTCCATTCTAAAGATGCCACGCTCGTAGCTATGTGAGTATCATACTTCTTTAACTTCTCTCACTAACAAAATCGACTTCACTGTCTGTGGGACTGATGTACTATGTTCCCTTGTTGATAACCTGTTGAAGTATAGCAGTCTTCTATGGACTCTTGATTTCTACAGACAAAGCATTTTGAGGTCCAGTCAGTCTTCTGTAAACAATGGTCTTTGATGGACAGTAGTCGACTGGTACAGATCTTTAGAATGCCCCCTATGGATGTGTCTTTTGCAGTCATTAGTTTGAATAGAGACAGAAATCTTCCTTGAATGAGACGTCTACAAACTGAAGATCTTGAGGTCCTATGGTCTTCAAGAGACAAAGTCTTTGGTAGATGGTAGTCTAGACTTTTAGACATCTCTAGAATGTAGTCCTCTATGGACATGAGTTTTGCAGTGACTAATATAGATAGACAAGTCTTCCATGAATGCTAGACATTATGGGCAAAGGTTCTTGAAGTTCTGTGATCTTCTTTAGACAACAGTCTCTGATGGACAGACTTCTACAGATCTCCAGAATGTAGTCCTTTATGGACATGACTTTTTCAGTCACTAATTTGGGTAGAGACAAGTCTTCTATGAATTCTAGAGGTCTAGACAAAGGATCTTGAGGTCCTATAGCCTTCTGTGGACAATCCTGGATGGACAGCAGTCTATAGAGTTATACCAGTCTCAAGAATGTAGTCCTCTATGGACATGATTTTTGCAGTCAGTAATTAGGACAGAGACAAGCCTTCTACAGGAGGTCTGTGGACAAAGAATCTTGAGGTTCTCTGGTACTCTATAGACAATAGCCTTGGATGGACAGTGGTCTATAGGGTCCTACCGATCTGAAAAATGTAGTTCTCTATAGGCAAAGGATCTTGAGGTCCTATAGTCTTTTATAGACAATAGCCTTGGATGGACAGTGTCCTATAGAGCCCTAGCAATCTAAAAAATATAGTTCTCTATGGACATGTCTTTTGCAGTCACTGGTGCAAATAGAGACAAATAAGTCTTCTGCAGATGCTAGAGGTCCATGGACAAGGGATCTTGAGGTCCTATAGTCTTCTGTAGACAGTAGTCTATAGGATCTCGGAAATGTACTCCTCTATGCCACAATTCCTGCGGTTAATGATTTGGGTAGAAACATTGATCTTTCAAGGGAACAAGTGTATTCAGAAATAAATGGGATCAGCGCTGCACTCAGTACAAAGACATTTACAGAAACCAAACTCAGCCTCACGTTTAGTCTAACGTGCTTTGGTGCATAGACGTTGAGCGGTGCATTGTCCTTTGTGGACAGTTCTTGTGGGTACTAGTCTTCCACAAGTATTGTACTATTAATTGAAAACAGTGAACTATACCTGTATTCTTTTACAGTTTCCTCACGTTGCTCGCTGATTCAACCACGTATATATACTCAGTTTCACCTTATGTCAGGCCACAGCAGATGCTATTAGCCATTGGATCCAATCCAAGGCCGTGCGAGTTCCCTGTGACCTTCGAGAGGAAGCGCCAGGGGTTTCCCCAGGAATTGAAATTAGGGGGGGGGGGGGGGGGGGGTCTAAATTTTTAGGGAGGGGAGGAGGGCAGTGAGAATAGAGGAGTTGTTGCTGATTAAGCGGGTGCCTCCAGAAAAACAAAGGGGGGGGGGGGGTGTCGGCAAATCACTGGGAAGCGCCATGACGCGCAGAAAGCGTAGTCACGTGTTACGTTCGTGGGGCTGAATTGGCTGGGTTGACTCGTGGAGTCCACTGAGGCCGGACGTAAAGTGAAAGGGAGCATACTTACGCACCATCCCGAATGAACGACCGCCCCCAAAATATCGCCCATCCCGTTTTTTTTTTTTGTTAATATATTGGTTTCCATCGAACTTACGCGATGTCCGCCAAATAAAATCTGCGGGGTCCCAACACTGGAAAAACTGTAGATAAATGCTGGTCATGTATCAAACGGGATTAAGCCCGCTTTGTTTTGCCGCGACGCAAAGTAGCGGAAGACACGGTAAACGTATGCGTAACGAAGAACTACAACAAGCGAATTCACAAGATGTCAAATTCATTGGTTCTAATAATAGTAGTAATATTGTAATAATAGTACGTCTTGTCATGCTTATGTGCCCGTTGTCAACCCTCTTCTTTTCCCCCGCTGCTCTCAGCAAAAAAATATATTGGCAGGCAGTAAAACGTCGTAAAACGCACACACACAAACCAAAATATATTGGGCGGCAGGTTGCGTCACCTAGGTTAAAGCGGAGGCACGCGGCACGCATTTCTCACCGCCGCCGTTATTGTCGGCTAGGTGGCGCAAGCTGCCGCCCAAGCGCTTGCTCATTAGCGCTGGCAGGCATACAAACTGCGGATTCATATATTATACACCGAACTGATCACTGGGGGGATCAGTGGGCTAAAGCATGGGGACACATGAGCGATGGAAACGGGTGCCGCGCGGCAGTATCACAGCAACCGGTGCTGGCGTCTCTACGTCACTTCCGCTCATGACGTACTGAAACACGTGACGAAAAATGAACAGCATTCCGTGGAACGCGAGCTTGCCCTATCCGCGATATTGATTCCCATATCATGCGAGCGCGATCTCATGGGTACGAGTCCATAGCGGATGCCGGCATGTTTTCCTCGCCCCTGTAACACCTCTTATGGCACGTGTTTCGGCAGGACGCTGCCGATGCCACGCAAGAGCACGTGTTCGGCATCCATGTACATGGCCTGGCTGGAGACACTTACAAGGGACATGCCGCCCTTCCTTCTCGTCCGAGGGAACCAGACCAGCGTGCTCACCTTCTACTCTTAGAGCATATAGCTATGGTCTATACTGTCCATAAGCGCTTGACCATCTGTCGTTTTGCCTGCAACCACTGTGACCACCTGTTATTGCCCCTTTGGTCATCCAGAACTGTCTGGCACCTGGTTCTTATACGAGCTTGGCTCATCTTCGTGTTAACAGTCTCCAGCAAATGACCTTTTCGTGTTCGAGCTCAGCGATGACACAGCAAAAATGGCGTGTGGATATAGTTATGTTTTGAGTGGGTAGGGATATTTTTTCCGCCTGCCAGTGTGAATATGACAAGTGCGGTGGCACTACTACATGCCCCCAAAAAATTCATAAAGGTGGCCCCTTTGCATTTAATTGCATTATAATCATAAAAATGTTTTCTTTTTTTTTTTGGGGGGGGGGGGGGGGCACGTTGTAGTTGTTGACTACTAGGCTGGGGTCAGACCGCAATTTTATACACACATATTGCTGCATCATAAAAAAAATGGTAGCCATAATTTTTGAGGACATTCCGTTGTATCCCTGCATTTGACTTTTACAGTGTGATGGACAGATATGGACGAAAGGGACCAAATGACGTTTTTTTGTTTTTTTTCCTTTTGTATTTCGCCTCTGTTAACAGTGGGGTTGTAAGCTTCACTCACTTCCTTGTAGCAGAAGTTACTGGTGACTTGTTTGTGCTTAGTTTAAGATAAGGCTGAGCAATGGCAAGGTGCATTGAACGATTCATTTCCTTGAGTACTTATAACGTTGATTGCGAGGGAAGCTCGTTTGTAAAGGTTACCAATGGTTATAAGTTGCATTCATTAAGGGGGCTTCCGCAAGCAAGAACAACCCGCGCAAAGTGTACCACATCAAAGTTGGACTTGTGTTGTGCTACTATCTCGGTGTGTCTGTGGTTCACCCAAGTAATTGTCTCCCATGTGTATGTTGTGGAGTTGAGGACATTGGTCACTGCTTCTTGGTTTAGACGGCATTTATCCGGTTTATTTCTAAACTGCGCTGTTTTAACAGATATCTATTTTTGTAGAGAAAGGTGTACATAGGAACATTTGTGTGCGATTCTTGGATCGCCTAGTGTACATAGTTTTTTCACACTCGTGACCTCATTCGATGCAATTAATGTGTGCTTCCATGTTAAACATCGAGCCATACATCTTAAGGTTCGAAGACGCGATAGGAAGTTTCTTTTTTTTTTCCTTTTGTTGTTGTTGAACCAAGTGCCTTTAGAAGCGACATAGTCACACGTGACTTCATTAGACATACTGGGAGAGCACTAAAGTGCCTCTCTCACGTGTAGCATATAATTCTTAAAGAAAGAAAAAAAAGCAAACATCTAATAAATCGATTTATTAGATATAATCGTTTGCTGTGTGTCCCATTTAATAATTAAGACACATCTTACACGGGTGAGTACACACCATAATCATTACTTATTGTATTCCTAAATGGACGGAGTGAATTTACGCCAGAATATTAGCACTGAAAGGACTCTAAAAATGCAGCATGACAGAAGGCTCGTTCTCGACGCGGGACATTTACTGGCTTGTTAATTTGTCACCGACTTGAGTACTATATTTTATTTGTGTAAGTAATTAAGGTGTTGATATATTAGCGTTGGCTACTTCTCGACTTCGATAGAGAAACAAAATAATTATGTAAAACAAAGAGTTAAACGTTTCGTTTTTTTTTGTTTTTTTTTGCTTTTTTTTTTTTTTAAATGTAATATCTTATTATTTTTTATTTTTTAAATTAACGAGGAGAAGACAATTGGCTACAAATCACACACACACACACAACAAACAAAAGAAATGCAGCTCGTACGTGGTCGAACGCCATTGCGTCGTCTGCTACGCGAAGCAGCCGACAGCAGCGTGGTCACCGGGCAATAGAGAGCCTATCAAGCAAGAGTGTGTTCAACTGCTCACCCGGCGTACGTGTTTATGGGCGCCATTAAATTGCAAACTTTTTGCTGTGAGTCCGTGGGTCTACGGGTGGCGTTTTTCGACGTAACTCCGGTTATAAACAGCCCTGGAGACGCTTGAATATTTTACGCGAAGAATAAAAGAACACTTTTCTTTAGACTCAATTTTTGTTCCGATAGGATAAGTATATTTTCAACGCTGAAAGGGGTGTAATCTGCCGTCTCAAACGCCGCCATTAAAGTGCCAGCGCTCTCCATGGTTTCAGTTGAACCCACTCTTATTACTTGAGGCTCTCTAGCAGGGGATATAGTATGTGGTGCCATCTAGCGAAGGGCGGGAGGAACTGGCACAGCACACGCGCGCTCGCTGTCGCCACCCAGAGATCGCCACCGTGAGCAGCCTCTTGGCGGCGGCGTGTGCTTTTTCGTGCTCTCTACCGAACCTCGCGCGCATTCGCGTATGACAGCCCTCCCCATCGCCTGCATATAAAAACCGGCGTCTGCTCGGCGGAGTCAAAAATCCGGATGGCACCGTAGTTCGCTATACCCCCCGCAAATACCGTGTACAGTCGCCGAAAAAAAAAAAAGTATCATACCAAAAGTATTTTAAAGATGAGTGAGAAGTCGAGATTCCAAGTCGCGAAGGTGGACTACGTCAACGAAGCCCTAGCAGCCGACGAAGACGTGGGACCGCACTGTTTGGTGACCAGCGCTTCGACGTCTCCGACCACCGAACTTTCGAACTATGGCACCGTGTACGACACGGTTAACGTCAAGAGCCTGCTACATTACACGCACGAAGCGTTGCCCCGCGTTGACCACTACCGAAATGTCATGTCCGTTCACGGACACATCAGCCGGCCGACACTGGACGAACTTCACTACAGCGGCCGCAATTCTACCGCTGGACTTACGCAGGTAAGACGGTTTTTTTCTCTCTCTAACGTCTCGGGTTCGCTAATGCGAAGCAAGAAACTTGACTACTTTCGGCGTCTCGGTGGTTTATTGGGTTTCCATTTATTGCCATCGTTCACATTCCACACGCTATTGTGTGTGTGTGTTTTCTTTGTTTCGTACAACGCAGACGGGCGAAGCATCTTTGGATGCAATATCGTCTGCGAAATTCCCGCGAAGCGTTCGGTTTGCAGACGATGCCAACAACGACCGTTTTGCGGTTTCATTTTCGTTTTCGTGCCGCGTGAGTCGTTTCGCGTTCGTGCTCTTTTCGAATAAAATTTATTCGTTTTTGTTTTGCTTTTATCGAATGGGTGCTTGGGGTATTTTTTTCGATGGTGGCAGTGCCACGTTTCTTATACTTTTAGGCGCGTTACGGCGATTTGAAACCGGCGACGACGAACTTCCGTCGATTGTCAAGTCATGGTGGAATTTTTGTTCCTTTGTTTCGTCACCGCAGGGAGTTTGGGCTACGTCGCACCTAAAAATCGAGGAACTTTTTTCTCTTTTTCTTCGATTGTTCTCTTGACTTTCTAACGCGTTGCAAATTTTTATTTTTGTTTCATTTTGTTCTTGTCGTTGTCTTCTCTTTCTAAACGCGGCACGTGTAACATTTCGTATTTCGCGCGAAGGTTGCGCTCGACAGCGGTTGCAGATCGAAGACGCGTAAAGCGCCGTTTTTGTAGGCCAGAAGTTTCAACCTAGCTTCTTCCGGTGGACGTTCTCAGTGTAGTGTCCGCCCGTTATCGCATGTCGAGTCAAACGTACAGATAACGCAAATTTCCTGACACTAATAATAATAACACGGTTAACGTCAAGAGCCTTCGCTGTGGTAGTACCCACGACGCACCGACTCTCTTTGCAATGTTGAAGTTAAAGATGACACGGTCCTATTCAACAGCCCATCCTTGTATCCTAATGCCCGAGTCCCAATAGAGCGACAAAGAGAAACAAACGACAGCGACAAGCCCCAAACCAGTCTTTCCCGATTTGACAGGCTTTGTGGAAGAAAGGAGGGTATGCTCAAACACGAGCATCATGCACGCGAGTGTCTTTGGCAGGCTCGCAATCACTCGTGCTTACTTCACGAGCACCGACCGACTAAACGCCTGCCAAAGGTGCCATCGCGAGCATGCTGCATGTGTTTAAGGCTTGTCGCTGTCGTTTGTTTGTCACTCTAAGCCCGTACAATAAATAAACCGTCATCCTGTATTTTTTTTTTTTTTCGCTTAGTATACTTGGTTCGCTTAGCAATGAGGTAGAAGGCTTTGGAGCAACAAACTGGCAGCTGAAAGTGACCCCCAATTGGCCGTCTCCAGGTTACACATTTCTGACCACTATACACGTGACCTAATAGTTCTACGTCTAGATTTTAACCAAGTACCGCGCACAAATAATTGCTTATTGATCTTTAATAACGGTACCGACGAGATAGGTTGTGTTTCGTGTTTTAAGTCAAAAATGTTCTTTTACGACAAAAACTCGGGCAGCTTCACAATGCCTCTCTAGGTGCCGTCAGCCGCGGTGCTCTACTTCGGGGTTTTTATCGGAGCTATCGACACTGACCTCTGGGACTAACGATATTGAAAACTTAATTTTGTCATGTTTTTTCTAAAGCGATCGCAACACGAATCTCTGCTCAGTTTTGCGTAAAAGCCTCCGGATTTGGTAAGGTCGCGTGTCTAGTGGTCAAAATTGTACAACATGGCGGCAGCCAAGTGGGGGTTACTTTTGCCTGATGAACGGGATACCAGTTTATCGCTTGAAGCCCGTCTACCCCGTTGTTCGAAAGCCACGTGCCGATTATTAAATGGTTGGAACCACCGCACAGTGCCGGAACAACTGCATCGGGGAACGTGCAAGTCATTCCACAAGATAGCGAACGTCGGAGCACAGCCAACGCTAGGAGCCAACGAGCCAATCAAACGGCGTCGAAAGTGCAACGTCACTGCGATCACCACCTTTTTTTGTGGGTGTGTTCCTTCTAGTGTGTCGTGACGTTGAGGTTTCATAGTGTGCCACTGTGCAAGAATTCCACAGCTGCCAACGGAGGGGGCGGTATTTCGAGAGGTCTTAAGCTTTTAGCCAGCCGTATTGGAGGCACAAAAACGAACGCCGTGACAACGCACTTTTTGCGCTATTTTGATTGACTATATTGTATCAGAGCGTCGACTGCGCTCCGATGGTGTAGATGGAGTATGGCAGACGTAATCGATCGCGGCCAATTAAATTTTGGAACATTTGCCTCGGGGACTGGAGAGAGAAATCGTAATTGTGAATGGTCATTCTCGCATTCGTGCGTGGTTCCTTCGGGGTTTCTTCTTGCGTATATTTCGCTTCCTTTCTGCTCAGCTTTTTACCGGTTCTGCGCAGCCCACGCTACAATCGGACCAAGCCAACCAAGCATCGCGAATAGTGCACAGTCACGGCGCTTCGTCTTCCTTGCCAGTTTCCATCGGTGCAAAAGCCTGCTTCGTATTACCATAACCTCCTATATACTGACAGCCTGGCAGATCGCCACAAGAAGCGGGCGCCGAAATGGAAAAGGTGGAGCGGCAGACGACGGTTGAGTAGAGTGCCTTCATACACACGCGCGCTTTTGCTTGAGTGGTGACATCTCGGCCATTTTTCCGCCCAATCGTTCTTTCTATGCATTTTGAAGTGCGCGCAACCCGGTGTCACTCAGCACGAGCGCGTAGCTTTGGCTAATGCATAGACGCCATTTTACCGCCCAAGTCACGCACCAAGTGCGCGAGAGCGTCACGCGCTGGCACATTCAGGGCAACAATGGATGTCTTCACCCTGAGACAGACAGACAGACATGTAGGCACCCTACGGTTGAGAGGATGGATGATGGATGGATGAATACGGCTGAGCCCTTTGGATCGGGCGGTAGCTTGCGCCACCTAGCCATTTTGTTTTACCATTTAAGCTTAGAATATTTAAATGTGAAATCTATATTCACTCCGCAGTGCAAAGAAAGTTTCGGCTTCTCGCCCCGCTGCGGCGAGAAGCCGAAACAGACTTCTCCCGACTGAAGCAAGTGTGTTTCGGGTCCTCGCCGCTACAAAAGCTGTGCGCTAACGTCCAGGTTCCCCGAAAAATGGCTCTTTGATGCTCTGTGCTACCAGATTCTCGCGCCCCAAATCTGTGACCGGGCACTCTATGGCTCCATCGTCGAAGTGCCAGGCTTTGTGAGTGTAGAGGAGGATACGGTAGTACATTTCCACTTCGTCCGTGCAGACTCATCCTCTTATGGCCGAGTCCCACTAGAGCGATTAACAGGTTTAAACAAGCGACAACGACAAGCCTCGAAACAGTCTTTCGTGATTTGACAGGCTTTGTGGAATAAAGGAAGCTATGCTCAAACACGAGCGTCATGCACGCGAGTGTGTCTTTGGCAGGCTTGCAATCGCTCGTGCTTACTTCACGAGCACCGAACGACTAAACGCCTGCCAAGGGTACCATCGCGAGCATGCCGCAT